CAGATGGGGAAAATTACACATTTATATTAAATATCAGCCAGCCAAGACGGCACACGCCTAACTTTCCATCTGCTTTGGTTGTGGATCCTAAACGTGACTGTGTGTATGTTTGTCTCAAGGAAGCAATCCTGTCTGTAGATCTGGATGGGGAGACAGCAAGGGTGTTAGTCCAGTGCTCGACATTACAAGGTATGACATTGGATCCTGCAGAGGACGTCTTGTACTTCGGAAAATATCAAGACATTTTCCGAAGATCCTTGGTTACCAACAGGACAATGAAAGTGGTTTCTTTCGACAAACCTGTCTTTAACATTTTGTATTATAATGACTACATTTACGTCAGTATGTATTTTTTTAAGTCAATTGGCAGTTATAACATAAAAAATAATACCAGAACAACGCACCAAATATTCAACAAGGACTTGAGCATTGCAGTGTTGATGTGTGTTATTCCATAAGTTAAGCAGAGACGGTAACCTGCTTGTATTGAGTGAGTGAGTGAGTTGGGTTTGACGCCGTGATGAACATTATTTCAGGTATATCACTGCGTATCAGCTTGATGTGGGAGGAAAACCCGTGTTGATGCAGATCTCCTACATTTTACACCTTGGGACGACGGCTGTAGGTGAAGTCGTTACCAAACTAATTCATATCCATGGAGAATTCATCGACTCTCCCAACTCGAAGACGAAATTCACAGTAAACTCGTAGACAAACAAATATAACTTGACTATTGATGTGATACCCGTGAAGATCCGGGTTAGAATAGGCCTTCAGCAACCTATGCTTGCCGTAAAAGGCGACTATGCTTGTCGTAAGAGGCGACTAACGGGATCGGGGGGTCAGGCCCGCTGACTTGGTTGATGCATGTCATCGTATCCTAATTGCGTGGATTGATGCTCATGATGTCAATCACTGGATTGTCTGGTCCAGACTTGATTATATTCAGACCACCGTCATATAGCTGGAATATTGCTAAGTGCGGCGTTAAACAACAAACAAACAAAAGACTATTGATGTACTACGTATACACATTGAATTATTATGTGGCAAATGTATTTCAAATCTTAAAATTTAAATGACAATAAATATGACCTGATATTATGACACAGAACACCACCTCTGTGGTCTAGTGGATAGAGCATCTGCCAGGAGAGTGAAAGGTTGGTGGTTTAGATACCCGACCGTGTCATACCAAAAGATGTTGAAAGATGGTACTTGTTGTAACCCTGCCTGGCGCTCGGCACTAAGGGGCTAAAACAATGACTGTTCAGCTCGGAGTCAGTATACCGTGTCTGAGTGGGGTATCCATGTTGAACTGCAGCATGGCATCTCAGTGGAGTAGCAGTATAAAATCGGCACTAATCCGGACAAAAACAAGCGGTGCAATATCAGTGCTATCATTGGAATGTGACCTCAAACCCAATTTCACCTTATCTCACATCTAGAAGATTCTTTGCAGAGTACATGCTTCGATTTGTTATTTAGTCAAACACACCCTTTGGATGTCATTGGTTTATGTCAGGCTGTGCTCCCACTGTAAATTGTTCTACTGTACCTCTGTGGTGACCACATTTGAGGTGTGTTGAGGGATTAACATTGCATTACAAGTTATTGCACTTATATAGCAGCATGTGTGCGTGTTCATTAGTGTGTCCCTCTGCTTGTACTTGTCTGGATTAATGCTGGTTTTGTAGTACTAGACCACTGAAATACCATGCCGCAGGTACCATCTTTCAAGTCTTTTGATGTACACAGCCAGGGTTCGGACTACCAGTCTTACACTCTCCAGGTAGACTCTCTATCCACTCCACCACGGAGGCGGTCTCCTGACAGATGCTCTATCCACTCCACCACGGAGGCAGTCTCCAGGGAGACGCTCTATCCAATACACAACGGAGGCAGTCTCTGGGCGGATGCTATATCCACTCCACCACGGAGGCAGTCTCCAGACTGACGCTCTATCCGCTCCACCACGGAGGCAGTCTCCAGACTGACGCTCTATCCGCTCCACCACGGAGGCAGTCTCCAGACTGACGCTCTATCCACTCCACCACCGAGGCAGTCTCCAGATTGACGCTCTATCCACTCCACCACGGAGGCAGTCTCCAGACTGACGCTCTATCCACTCCACCACGGAGGCAGTCTCCAGACTGACGCTCTATCCGCTCCACCACGGAGGCAGTCTCCAGATTGACGCTCTATCCGCTACACCACAGAGGCGGTCTCCAGACTGACGCTCTATCCGCTCCACCACAGAGGCGGTCTCCTGCCAGACGCTCTATCCGCTCCACCACGGAGGCAGTCTCCAGACTGACGCTCTATCCGCTCCACCACGGAGGCAGTCTCCTGACTGATGCTCTATCCACTCCACCACAGAGGCAGTCTCCAGATTGACGCTCTATCCGCTACACCACAGAGGCGGTCTCCAGACTGACGCTCTATCCGCTCCACCACAGAGGCGGTCTCCTGACAGACGCTCTATCCGCTCCACCACGGAGGCAGTCTCCAGACTGACGCTCTATCCGCTCCACCACAGAGGCGGTCTCCTGACAGACGCTCTATCCGCTCCACCACGGAGGCAGTCTCCTGACAGACGCTCTATCCGCTCCACCACGGAGGCAGTCTACATAGTTTGAGAAGGGACAGGGTGAAGACTTTAGGCCATTTGATATGCAATGTGATATTAATATTCTAGCTGTTACAGAGGAAAACATTTAGGCGTGATTATGGACTAGTAATTCACTTCATCCCCAGCACATGACTCCATCACTTGAGACAGAAACCACATTTCGCTGTGTGCAGAGTTGCATCCCTTAGACATGCCAGGAACATATGATGATGGGATTGATTATCAGATTCGCCCTGATTATCGCTCTAGATTTGTCAGCACTTTACCCAAATGTTTGTGAGAATCACCAAAGTGGTAAACGTCCAACACCTGTATCTCTTTCCTCAGACCTGAACTAACAAATATAGATTCCTGGCTTGATTAAGGGAAGCAACTTGACACAACATACTGTAAAAAGTGAAATTAATGCGTCTCCAAAAGAATGCAACCGCTGGCCCCTAGCCAAAAATGCGACTCAATATGAAAGCGACACCCCCTCCTCTCAAGCATCAGTGGATTTATATCTAAACAAAATGTCCTCTGTCAGGTTTACAGGAGAATCCTCACCTTAATCCAACCTTACATTAATCCAATCACACACCAAATAGCACCGCTTATTGGCACTGAGTAGAGTACTTCAGCTAAAACAATACGTGCGCGCCGGCTCGTATCAGCCTTTGATAGTCGCAAAGAGCAAAGACACCGTGTTGGGTGGCGTCTGTCTGGACTTACAGGTGTGATCAGTGATGACATGACTGAGTAAAATGCATGTCTTGACCCCAGCAGTGACAATTCACAGGATGTAATTAGTGTTTGAATGACATTGTTTATATACTTGTAACAAGTGCTGCTCAATAAACAGTGATGTGGAATACATAGTTGTTTGTTTTCAGCGTATCCAAAATGTCTTATTGTTGATATAAATGCAATGTTTAATAATGCGAGCAAAGACCACTCGCATTTTTCGCATTTAATTCACGCTCGCGTTAATATCAAGATTTACAGTATAGATTCCTGGCGTGATGACGAGAGGCAACTTTACACAACAAATTGTGGCACCTTAGACAACTGGGCCACCCATGCATCCTAGTTGAATTAACAAACAGGCAACCAGTCTTTGGAAAAAACCATCTGTATTCAATATTTCAACACAAATTCAGATTACATCGCTATCACTAATAGAACCTCCTGTTGGGGAAAAACATTCATCTACATTAACACAGAGGACTGTCTGCAGACAGACCCCGTCACACAACACACGTGATTGAGGCTCCCATCCTTGGTGATCCAGGGTGTGATTCAACCTATTCCCTGGACCCACTCTCCACCATGGCTTCCTTTCAGAACTGACATCACTATCTCAACCCCTCTTTGTGCCATTGTACGAAGCCATCTTAGAACTAAGGTTGTCGTAGCTCCAATACCTTGACATAGACTAACTACGCTCATAGCTCTAAGGTTGTATTGTACAACGGCACTCTGTCACTAACTCAATCTCATTAAAATCAGATCTTAGTTCTTGCTATGCTAAACAAAGATCTGAGGACATCCCATTAGGGGTCACGTCAGAACGACCTTTCATCCAACCAATCGGAGCGTCACTTACCAGATCATGAAAGTGACAGTCGGAATGTGTTTTCTAATCATGCAACCACGAAATATTTAACGAATGACAGTTACAGGTTTTATAATTTTTTATCGAGAGTATGTCGGAATATGTTTCGAAGCGTAGTCGCCAGTTTGAAACTAGTGTCGTAAAGCTCGAGAAAGCTGCCTTCTTATTGGCTAATGTCGATTTCTTGTCAGTCATTTCATTGGTCGGTCAAAATTCCCAAGGGTTGTTCTGACGTGACCCGTAATGGGATGTACTCAGATCTTTGTTTAGCGGTAGCTAAAACTAAGATCTGATTTTAATGAGATTGTCACTAACTTGTCCATATTATTTCTCCCGCTCACAGCTTGAAAACAACAACCAATTAAAACATCTCTTCTGATTGTGAGTTTGGATTAAATCTACATTTAATAACCCGAAAAAAATCATAAAGTAGGTCACATAGAATCATGAATTAACTTGATTGCAGTGGTGTGTCCATGGGAACTGACTGGTTGCGAATGGGTTCAGGGTATTTCCTGATGCTTTACACAGACACCAGGGAAACCAGTGGTCGAAAGTATGACCATCTCAGCATATATTTCGTATATCCGACACGAGTGACTGCCATCAGACAGGTTCACGTGGCTTCACATCAAACACCAGACAGCTTGACTGTCACCAGTAATTAAAGACAATCTGTGATCTGAGTTCAAGTCTTAGCAAGGTGGTGCAATACAGAAGTGACTTTGTCTTGCTCATAGACGACACGCACAATATACTCTAGCACTCGGCTTCAGTTGACAACAGCGGATGTTCATTACAAGGACATGCCAGCACTCAGCTTCAGTTGACAACAGTGGATGTTTATTACTCCGACATGCCACCTCATACTTGAAGATCTGACCAACCCTCCAAAGGAAGTGGCCTTGGGTGAACATTAAGATATTTTTGCTTGTATAATCTAAATAAAGGATATTTGGGCCAATCAGACATCAGAGTTCTTAAATGATTCAGCTTCATTTGTTTTCCCCTCAGAAATTTCTACCTTAACAAACATCCCTCAATACAATCTCCAGAACAACATATTCGATCACTTTAATCATTTTCATTCGAAACTGCCTGTTTATGTTTGTTTTCAAGAGATCCAAAAAATCACATACTCTGCTTCTTCTCTGGTTCGTATGAAGAATTTTGAAGCCCTGACTCATGAGAGCCTGATTATGAATTTAACCTGAAAGAACCTTCTCTGAAGGGTTTGTCAGATCTTCAAGTCAGAGTCACATATCTAATTTGTTATGATGCTGTGTTCTGACAGAGCTAGCTGTCTCCTGCCTCCTTGGGCTTGGACCAAGCCGGTGGAAATATTGATGGAAAATCTTCACTGGTGTCTTTATGAATGTGAAACACTGTACCCTTCACATGAACTGTTTCCATCTTGTTCACCTGAAAATATTCAACATAAGGATTAATCATGGATTTATCTAGGCCATCTCCAAATGTCAGTAACATTTCCCAATTTCAAACAATAAATGGCTCAATTCATCTTTACTTTGTTGCTACGAAATCCATAATTTGTATCGGTTACTTGTATCTCCCTGACAACAGAACTCGAGCTAACAGCCTGCCTCGGACCAATACAGCCAGCCTCGGGTCAATATAGCCTGCCTCTAGCTAATACAGCCTGCCTCGAACCAATACTGCCTTCGTCGGACCAATACTGCCTGCCTCCAGCTAATATAGCCTGCCTCGGACCAATACTGCCTGCCTCGGGTCAATACTGCCTGCCTCGGGTCAATACAGCCTGCCTCGGACCAATACAACCTGCCTCGGGTCTATACAGCCTGCCTCGGGTCAATACTGCCTGCCTCGGGTCAATACAGCCTGCCTCGGGTCAATACAGCCTGCCTCGGACCAATACAACCTTCCTCGAGCTAATACAGCCTGCCTCGGGTTAATACTGCCTGCCTCGGACCAATACTGCCTGCCTCGGACCAATACTGCCTGCCTTGGACCAATACTGCCTGCCTCGGGTCAGTACAGCCTGCCTTGGACCAATACAGCCTACCTCAGGTCAATACAGCCTGCCTTGGACCAATACTGCCTGCCTCAGGTCAATACAGCCTGCCTCGGACCAATAGTGCCTGCCTTGGGCCAATACAACCTGCCTTGGACCAATACAGCCTGCCTCTGACCAATAGTGCCTGCCTCAGGTCAATACAGCCTGCCTCGAGCTAATACAGCCTGCCTCGGACCAATAGTGCCTGCCTCGGACCAATACTGCCTGCCTCGGACCAATACTGCCTGCCTTGGACCAATCTAACCTGCTTAGGACCAATACTGCCTGCCTCGAACCAATACTGCCTTCGTCGGACCAATACTGCCTTCGACGGACCAATACGGTCAATACTGCCTGCCTCGGACAAATACAGCCTGCCTCTGGTCAATACTGCCTGCCTTGGACCAATACTGCCTACCCCGGACCAATACTGCCTGCCTCGGACCAAAACTGCCTGCCTCGGACCAATACTACCTGCCTCGGACCAATACTACCTGCCTCGGACCAATACAACCTGCCTCGGACCAATAAAACCTGCCTCAGACCTATACAACCTGCCTCAGACCATTATGACAGACCTTGGACCCATAACAAGGCCAGTATGAAAACACCCACATAACAACCATGACAACATAATAGCTTTAAATTACTGCACTGAATGCAGTTGTTCAAGTATCTACCAATTTAAGAAAAAAAGCTCTTTAATAAACTCCCAATTATTAACAAAATAGCAATTGGGGCTCTTACTCTTAGTATGCAATCCTAGACAAATCCCTGTTAATACTTAAAACATCACAAGGACACATATTTTACAACACAGCTGAAGAAACAGTTCTATGAATGTGCCCAGCCAGTGTTGATGATTCACCACAAAGCTTCGTCTTCGGTCTAATTAAAATTACATGATTCATATATCCAATTAACTTAACAGTCATGATGGTGAATGGGTTGAGGGTCTCTTGTCCTTACTGAATGGCATATGGTGTATTTTGTACAACTAATCACTCACTGTGATGCTGATTGAGATCTCCTGTGGCTCTGTGATGGTTTCTGTCGGCATTGTTAGACAGCTCTCCTCCACCTCAACTCCCTGAAACAATACAGACACAATCAACTCCCTGAAACAATACACAGACACAATCAACTCCCTGAAACAATACACAGACACAATCAACTCCCTGAAACAATACAGACACAATCAACTCCCTGAAACAATGCACAGACACAATTAACTCCCTGCAACAATACAGACACAATCAACTCCCTGAAACAATACACAGACACAGTCAACTCCCTGAAACAATACACAGACACAATCAACTCCCTGAAACAATACACAGACACAATCAACTCCCTGAAACTATACACAGACACAATCAACTCCCTGAAACAATGCACAGACACAATACACTCCCTGAAACAAAGAACAGACACAATCAACTCCCTGAAACAATACACAGACACAATACACTCCCTGAAACAAAGCACAGACACAATCAACTCCCTGAAACAAAGCACAGACACAATCAACTCCCTGAAACAATGCACAGACACAATACACTCCCTGAAACAATGCACAGACACAATACACTCCCTGAAACAAAGCACAAGCACAATCAACTCCCTGAAACAATGCACAGACACAATACACTCCCTGAAACAAAGCACAGACACAATCAACTCCCTGAAACAAAGCACAGACACAATCAACTCCCTGAAACAATGCACAGACACAATACACTCCCTGAAACCCTTGTTCCCACCCCGTCTTATGGTATAAAACTATCCAGCACTGTTACCAACACTCCCATTGATTTACTGAAACAAGCACGGGTGTAACATCTCACACACTGAAGCACTCACCATCTTCCTGAGGGCAACCTTGACATTGGTCTTGTTGAGCGTCCATGGCCGCTCTCCGTTCATCGGTATACGAAGATGAAGCCAACTCAGTTGCTCCAGCGTCTGTAACAGCATCGCACATCAGTGAGGTAGGACATAATGCCCTGTATTTTCAGACTACCAGGTGTTATTCAGTATTTAATGCCCATAAAACTCTTATGGACCTGGTATTAGCCGGAGGTTTCACAGTGATTCAAACAAAGAAACAATAACTCGTGAGTGGGTAAAACACCACAACAGGCGACGGGACCCCTTTACGCCAGTCGAACCTAACATTACGAAATCAGGTACAATATGAGTTACATGTCTTATATTAAATGAAGACACGACTGACACGTGACAGTACAGATGAACCAAAGCTGACAGTGACTTTGGCGCTTAAATTATTATGTCATATACGGTAACCATGATTTAACTGGAGAGGCCAGTTACTGGAAATGCCTCATATTGATTAATGTAATATAATTTTGGCTTTGTGGGGCTTTTCTTTTTAGGCTTCCATTATATAACCACTTCTGTTTGAAAAGCACGACCTACGTAGTATTTGGAATATTCTGTCAAATTACGGAAAGAAGCGAGTACATTCAAATGTTGGTTTGGTTGGTTGGTTTGTTGTTTAACACTGCACTCAGCAATATTCCAGCTATATGACAGCGGTCTGTAAATAATCGAGTCTGGACCAGACAATCAAGTGACTGACATCATGAGTATCGATCCACGCAATTGGGATCCATGACAAGCATCAACCAAGTCAGCGAGCCTGACCCTCCGATCCCGTTAGTCGCCTTTTACGACAAGCATAGTCACCCTTTACGGCAAGCATGGGTTGCTGAAGACCTATTCCTCCCCGGAATCTTCATGGGTCACATTCAAATGTAGTTCGTGCAATCATGAACATCTCGTCAAACGTCTGTAAGATACAGTCAACGGAACCAGCGAATAATGCTGAATGTATTTACAACAGGAAGCTGTTTTGCGATAGTGAAACATGCCACTAGCCGGTTGAGTTAAACTCTTTCACAGTTCAATTTTGTCAAGAAAAAATAAAAAGTAAATTAAGTACTTTGATTAAAAAGGCCATGCCCACAAAGCACTGTACAAAAAATTCAAGCATGCCCTTTCATGAGCGCCATGGGAATGATGGCGCTAATAATTTCAAGCCCTGCAACTGGTACCCTTTTTACCATTTTCTGACTTCCCGACAACAACTGTAGAAGAAACAAAGGGAGATAATCTGACACCCTGACTCACCTGTCTTGCTGTGGGCGTGGCTCTGGTCTCATCCACTCGCTGGAACACATGACATATTCATATCAGTCAACTTAAAAATTCTCTCATAATTTACGAAACAAAGAACAGTTATAAGATCCAATTCTGATCGTTTTCCCAAATTGCCTGACGGGGGCACTTACTTTGGAATCTTAGATAAATACCTGTAGGAAGAGGTGCTTAACTTAATCCAAGTGTATATGCAGCATATCAGTATACTATTGTACATAACATGCAGTGACACGCACCTCGTCCCCCAACTCGGCCAGGTTCTCAGGGGAGGCGTATGTTGCCTTGGTAGGGTACAGCTTGTTTCTGAACAAACCTCTGTCCACACTGATCACACTTCCCTTCACACCAACCCCTGTGGGGAGATAAAGTCATAATGACAAATCTAAACAATATCAATCTCAGTGAAATCATATCCTTTGCTCTGATACGATATTTCCTCACATAAAGACAGAGTAGGGTTAACATGAACCTATCACATGGGTGAGGTGAAATTGGGTTTAACGTCGAATCCAAGATTATGGCACTTACATATTGACGTGCATGCACGTGTGTATGTGGCTGCTTGTACTAGTCCGAACTGATGCCGATTTATAGTGCTAGCCCATTGAGATACCATGCTGCAGTTTAACATGAATACCCCACTCAGACACAGTATACTGACTCCGAGCAACCAGTCCTTGTTTTAGCCCCTTAATGCCGAGCGCCAGGGTAACAACAAGTACCATCTTTTAACGTCTTTTGGTATGACGCGGCCGGGGATCGAACCCCGTACCTTCAGCTCTCCGGGTGGACGCTCTACCACTAGACCACGAGGCGGTTCTATCACATGGAATAGTTTGAGCGAGCAAAGCATTCGGAGCAGCCTATCTCTTTTCTGTGGCTCAAAAACAAACAAAAATGAGCAGTTCCAAATGGAAAGAATAGAGGCTGTTATCTTGTTGAAATAACATAAACATGTTATTATAACATGTTAAATAACATAAACATGTTATTATGATCACAAAAGTTGAGAGAGTGACAAAGGGTAGATCTGGCTCATACCTTCCTCAGCATGCTCGTTTGTTGTTTAGCGCCGCACTCAGCGATATTACAGCTATATGACGGCTGTCTGTAAATAATCGAGTCTGGACCAGACAATGTGGGGATTCCAGGTTGGAATGGGTCCCCAACAACCTGAGCTTGTCGTAGGAGGGGATGAAATGGAATGGTCAGATTCTGTGACTGGGTTGACGGAATGTCAACATATTCTATTTAGGGTTGGCATACTGGCACATAAATCATGTTGCAATATATCACAATTTGGAGATCGGTATAGCAAAATATTGCAAAATGGAGATCTGTATTGCGATATTGGGGTAATACGTACTGGGGCCCAAATTATAGAATATTTGTACTGTTTAAATGGTACTGCTTCAATCTCATTAAAATCAGATCTTAGTTCTCGCTATCGTTAAACAAAGATCTGAGGACATCCCATTACGGGTCACATCAGACCGACATTTCATCCGACCAATCAGAGCGTCACTTACCAGATCATGATCTGATTTTAATGAGATTGGGTACTGCTTCATTCAATAATCCAGACTTGAGATTGCGAGATGGGTCGCATGGATAATTGAGACTTCATATTATGTCATCAACATGGATTGTTAATGAAAACAGTCTGAAGAGTGTGCTGTTTACATGGGTTAGACAGGAACCCAATCCATCCAAAAGGTAGATAGTAGATATAATTCATATAATTATATACTAACTCTTCTGTGAGTGTATAGGAAAATATTGTTACAGAACGGTTGTATTGCGATACCGTATATTAAGTTCAAATCACGTGGAAACCTCTTGGCAATATATATTTCAGAGCAAGTTCAAAAAGAAAACCTAGCTGCAGACACACGCTCGTAGCGGCTATTTCTAGCAGTGAACTTGAAACGCTAATTACAACACATCTTGCAATTTTTGACAGACAAAAACGGCAGGGATCATTAAACGGGTAATAAGTAATTTATTTCAGCAAGTGTATCAATACAGAAAAAAACATATCGTGTATCGCATCATCCCATGAAAACTTAAGATGCACTCTGACTGAATGACAGTCTTGTTTAACGCCGCTTTTAACAGTATTCCAGTTATATCACGCTGTGTCAGCTTAGTGTGGGAGGAAAGCCTGAAGTGATGCAGGTCTCAGACGTTTACCACTTTGGTGAAACCCACGAGCACAGGTATGGTGCTATCAAACCTAGAAGCATAATTGGGGTTCGAACCCACAATCATAGGTTTCTGGCGTGCCAAAGGGACGCAACTCTGCACAGCGAATCGCAGCGCCCTAGACGACTGGGCCTCCTGTGCCCCCTGATGCACTCTGTATGTGTGTCAGTAACCAACCTTTTATATCCTCCAGCAGAATGCACTTGATGGGCGGAGTAGGCTTGCTGTGTACTCTCTCCCGCAGCCTGTACACACGGTGCTTGTTCTTCAGGGGCGGCATCTGGCCCACCTTGCCCAGTGGCGTCGGATACACCCGCTCCACCACCACTGTCGACTGCAGCAGCAGAATACTCATATTACTTATACTTAAACTATTTTCCTATATGCACACAAATTAAGAATGGATGCGAATAGTTAACATTGCGAGTCCTGTGGGACGTAAAAAGGTGTGGCTATTAGAAATGAAAACTGTGGATTGCATGTGACAGATGACGGACACTTCTATTCTGGGAGGAGATACACTCACAGTTCAGTGTGTCAGTTGTTGACTTTCCTCCATCTAACACTTAGCTGGCTTAAGGCTTGAGGACATCAATAAAACTCTTTGAATTCAAGAAACATGGGCCCTATGCTAATGAATTGGAACCCTAGATATTTATTACAGAATTTGTTTTGCTGAGTCGGGCATAAAACTAAGAGTTCCACCTGGTCAATAGATTATATTAGCTACAGTCCCAGATGAATTCTGCAATCGCGGAAAGATTTGAAAAAAAATGTTACACCACAGATTAAACAAAAATCACTGCAATTTGACTTTTTTAATTCAAGTAACTTACTAATACACTAATTTTCTTTATTTTAGAGCGTTTCTATCGAATTTAGCACTTGCCCAAACATGAAACACGCGATTAAAACGTAAAACATGAATCCCACAATACTAGAAATTGGATATAAATTATTCTCACTTTAACATGTTTAAACGTTCTTACTTTTAACTATATTCACATCTAACCATAAATGCAAGGGATAAACCATTTTAAAGGAAAAAGAATGGGTTTGTATCAATATTTCAGAGGGAAATGGTAGTTTTATGGCAGAATTTTGATAATTTTACTGCAGAAGTTGTCTGGGACTGAAACATAGGAAATGAACAGATATGCTGTATTCGACGTAATAAGCGCCCAGGTCGCTCTCAAAATTAGATATAGGGGACTCTAATAGAATATTATTATCGTAAATTTCGTGGTTTATGCTGACAGCCTGAAATGTTTATATACGACATATATTTTTTCAGAATTTATAATTGCCCATAATTATAAGGGTGCATATAACACACGAGTGCGTATTATACGCAAATAAATAAGTCTTGTGTACATTGATCAATCGGAAGGGGTGCTAATTAGGATTGTTCACTAGCCACTATATTAGCAAATTACACTTGTATACAAAATTGCTCAAACACTCAGGCATAATCTCCGCAGTGTGTATATTACCCGAGTTTGTTCCACATTGAGACACGGTGCCCCTCTCACCGCTGACCTCAGGAGCTGACCCGACTCCTTCACTGCCTGGAGGCTGCTCCTCAACATCGTCACCTGTAATCATAGCAACCAACATCAGCAAAGAAAGCAACAAAAGGTAGGAGATAGTTAACCCTTTCTAGCACATGTGGTGTCTCCTTTAGCAAGTGGCTTTGTTTGAACATGCCTCTGTTCGCCCAGCAGTGGGTGGGTACCCGGTGGGATGAGGTGGTGATGGTGGGATGTTAACCTTCTGGCGCCTCACAGACAGCTTGGGTTGTATACTCCTCAGGGAGTTGAGAATTAAAAATCAAGTGTACACTGATCAATTGACCAGGGTAATACTACTGCAGGTATCTAAGCATCCATTGCAAGTGGGCGACTATTTTTGCTATCATGAACTTTCCATCAGCGAATCACCAATGAGACATTCAAATAGCATATGCATGGGAATGGCAGCTAGGAATGTTCGTAATTTATTATTTATGCAGAACAGCAGACAGCAATGAGTATTGATGTGAGAAGCCACTTGCAGTGGACACCATACATCAGTGGGTGTCCACTCGTCTGACATTAATGAAAGTCTAGAGCGAAAAATTGATTTCTTCAAAATCTAGCTATTGTACATAAACCAATAGTACAAAATCAGCAGCGGACAAGGAGGATTTGACAAGCATCAGCTGGCTTCAAATTCAAAGGTCATTTTTCAACCTGTGGCGAATTTCCAGAAAGATACAATTTCGGCAGTCAGGAAATATGGTGCAGAGTACCAAGTTGGCAAAGAAATTTTGGCACAGATGTAAAGAGGGACTACTTACAGAAATCGTAAAGAAAAGAGTGGGACGAGCTCTAGAGCCTGGTAACAGCTGTCAGTGTGATTCCTTTTGCATTATTATTAGGTTTTCTAAAATGTTACTACCTGCAAGAAATGTCAATGAATGTCTACATCTCCAACTGGCTATAAATCATAAAATAGTTTCAAAATATACAAACAAGTTTCTTAATCCTATCTATATATGAATATGGATTTCAGATTGTGTGTGTGTGTGTGTTTGTGTGTGTGTTGTTTAACACTACATAGAGCAATATTCCAGCTACATGACAGTAGCCTGTAAATAATAGAATCTGGACCAGACAATCCAGTGATTTATATTGTGCCTTCTGGATGTGATGACCATGATGACATGCTTACAACGAAATCACTGTGTTGGATGCATGATGTGCCGTCTGCCATCATATTTTCTAAAACCGTTCAAGGCATCTATTTGCTCAATAATAAAATGTGATATATGGTCATTTTCTTTTATTTATTAAACTTTTGATAAAAGATGTGAAGAAACCTCTATGTGCCAAATTGCCTGTGTGGGAAGTTGGCATCATTCATAGATTAAAAAGTTAAAATGAAGCAGTACACAGTGGTACATAGCTATGATCTAACAGCTACTGTTCATGTTGCAGCAACAATGCAGTTTATCTGCAGTTTATTCACTCAGGCTGTCGCTTCACATATCTCGAGACCGCCTCCGTGGACTAGTGGTAGAGCGTCCGCCCGGAGAGCAGAAGGTCCGGGGTTCGATCCCCGACCGCGTCATACCAAAAGACGTTAAAAGATGGTACTTGTTGTTACCCTGTCTGGCGCTCGGCATTAAGGGGCTAAAACAAGGACTGGTCGGCTCGGAGTCAGTATACTGTGTCTTCATGTTAAACTGCGGCATGGTATCTCAGTGAGCTAGCACTATAAATCGGCATCAGTCCGGACTAGTACAAGCAGCTACACAAACACACACACACGTACATGCACGTCGCTATATAAGTGCAATAATCTTGGACGCGACGTTAAACCCCATTTCACCTCACCTCACATATCTTGTCTGCCTCTTTGATCCTAAGAGTAGATTTCCCCCAACGCTATCCTTTGATCCCCTCTAAGGTCAGGTACCCTGGGAAGAGTGCTACAATCTGCACCCGGTAAACTGCACTGTTGCTCGTGTCTTTCTATAAATCTACGACACACAGGAACCAAATATCAAAACATGCCATACCTAAACATTCAGCAACAACACAAACCGGAAGCAATGCACATGCTGCTTGTAGGACCGCAGTCAAATAAGAGTGACTGCCTTTGATCATCACGCCACCAGGCGGAGACAAAGCTTAATCGCGATGCTGAAAATAAATGATTCAAAATTTAGAATTACACCTAACCTTTAATTTGAAATAACTCAACAAAGATGAATTAATAATGGACGGTGATAAATTAGTACTGTAAAGAAACGTTGTTGATTCTTATCTGGAAGGCCTCTTCTTAAACGCTAAAAATAATCTCGATAATGTAGCCAATCAAAGGCTGTCCTTTACTCAGCGTTACCGACATTTACACCGGATAAATAAATAATAGCTTGGTAAATATAAATACATCTGCCATCGTTTTCCACTCTAATATTTATTAACTATATAAAAATTCTACTGATTCAAAGAAAGTACGGACTGCTATACTATTGTCTTGCATACATTTGCCGCTGAATTACAACATTTTAGTAAACTGGTTCCACTGTTGCTTCGCGCATGCTAGTTTGTTAGACTGGTTTACCTGCCTTAGAGCGCTTGCGCTCATCTCCACACTACGTGTGTGGGGAGCATAGGACAGGGAACCAGCTTTGCTCTTTTTCGGAAGACAAAGAACCCAGTCTATTATGCTCGTTGCCTAATATACGGACGAAACCACAAAACTGTTTTATTTGTTCATTAAATAGATTTATATGTGACAAGGAGGACGATAACAAATGTGCCTATAATTAAACTTACGATATAATTATATAGTATACATATCTTTGTATCACGGCCTACTCATGACCACTGTAACTTGACAAATAGCTTTTCTTATATACATACGAGATTGTCCGTTATTTAAGGTCTCAAAGATGGTGGGTGTTGTCTGCTAAGATTGATAAAAATAACTGTCTCTTCCGTCGTCAAGTTATTTGAAAAGCACAAATGGTGGGCTTATGTTCTTTTGATACTCTATGTATAATTTTCATACGGGCGTATTTCTGGACCATATTTATTCACAGTTTGTGATGGAATGCTAACAAACGCAGACGTGATCCAGTGTGAACATTAATTTTGTCAGAGAGACGTCACATGACTATGGCAATCTAAGTAAATGTTTTAGTTTCCAGTGTTTAAGGCGCACTAATGAAATTCAAGGCGTCGTTGTCATTACCGTAATGTTGCATCTTGAAGATTTGGGGGTTGCTAGATTAAAATAGTACAACAGAAACCTCATATTTTCGATCATAACACTGTTGGTGTTTTTCTCCATATTTTTCTCAAAATATTCGGAAATTAAAGTTTACTGTACCACTTACTTTGACTATTGTGAAATGCATTTCTTTTCGTTTTGTAAGAGTGTGAATCAAAAGCTGGAAATATAACTCTCCTGTCTTATATTATATTATTAATTTTTATTATTATTTTATATTTTATACCACATGTATCCAGGTACTAGTATCTGCTCAAATACGTTTTTTTATTGTTCCCTGATCTGTTTGCATTCCAGTTTTATCATTCTCAGCTCCCTTGGGAGTGTGCAACCCAAGAAGCCTAGGGGCGCTAGAAGGTTTTTACATCCACCTCACATATTGGGTACCCATTCCCTGCTGGGTGAACAGGGGCACATTTGAACTAAGTCAGGGTGACACCACATGTTTTGACACTTGTGTTTCGGATGTATGTACTTATTCGTGTTTTCACCATCTTATCATCTACCATCGGACGAGTGGTTTTTTTTGTGTGCAGAAGGTGTTGTACACTAGGGGTAGTGACAACACTGTAAAGACCTGTTAACATTGTCGGTCCCAAGACTGAATAACAAGCCGGTCACTAGCGGGATACAATCTGAGCACCTGGTGCTTGCTAGCGTGGTGCTTTCGACCACTTGCCCACTCTGCCCCCATACCTCTTCAGTTAAACAAATTACATTTATATAATCGCTGCTATTGCTATTGCTATTGTCTGCCTTTGGCCCGAAACCAGTATTCCCCACTTTCATTCAACCTATGATTTTAAATAACACTATTTTTTATGGATTTCATGACATGTTCAGGTTTAAATATGCATGTTTGAAAAAAGTGCTAAGTTGGTTTGTAAAACTGTATTTACACGGGAAAAGACAGACCAACTGTAAGCAAAATGTGCTTTACCTTGTTGTTGAATTTTTGTTTGTATGAACTGTCACCTACCCCCCGCGTTTCATGAGATATTTTTTAGCAATTAACTTATCTGATGTATTTAAATATTTCCAAACTAGAGGCAATTTTGCTCATCATTTTGGGATATTTTTTCTCCCATCTAATGAAAACAGGTAAGAGTTAAACAAGTTGCAATTATGTGTGCACACAAACAGGGTGTTGGCGATAATTTTGTCCTCTGCGATAACTAGCAAGTAAGTGTAACTTATAGAGTATTGTCCTGTAAACAAATTGTGTTCTTGAGGACCAGCGATACATATGAGACGTGTATTAATAAGCTCATGGTTTCCTTCAGTTGATATTCTCGATCCTTTGTGTTTTAGAGGTTCAGGTTCTGTGGGGATCTAGACTGCCCAGACTGGGTTCTGGCAGAAATCAGCATTCTGTCTAAAATGGTGAGTTATCTTTTTTTGTTTCTTATTCCATATTGAGTCTAAAAATACATTCCGAACAGTTTTGAGGAAGTCAGTATACAGAAGGAAGGGATGCTCGAGAGGATTATGGCTGGAAGATGAAAAGCAAGCCCTGCCTTTTACAATTCTCCCATGATGCTCCTTGAAAAGACAAAATGCAAAAGCAATAATATTTTATCAAGAGCTTTTTTGGTGACCCTCCCCTGATTCCGTCTGACCCACCCACCCTATAATAAATGACCGCTCCCTCAGCATATGCCTCATTTCATATGGGGGTAAGGTGGCCCAGTCGTCCAAGGCGCTGTGCAGAGATGCGTCCCTTTGGCATGCCAGAAACCTATGATTGTGGGTTCGAATCCTGGTTTGCCCCGATTATGTTTCTTGGTTTGTCAGCACCATACCCATGCTCATGAGTTTCACCGAAGTGGTAAACGTCTGAGACCTGCATCACTTTGGGCTTTCCTCCTACATTAAGCTGGTACGTCGCAATATATCTGGAATACTAGTTAAAGCGGCGTTAAACCCAACTCATTCACACTCTCATTTCATATTGAACTGTACATATTGATTAATAGGCAGATTGACATGCAGGTGTTCAGTATTTCACTCCTGTGTTACAACATACTGATGATTGGTTTTCAGACATCGGTGAAAATGAAACTTCTATGTGTCCAAGTTATCAAGGACATTCTGGGAGCAGGGTTAGATGTAAGTATCGTCCATTCTTGTCAGCAGGAGTGCAGTCATTACGTGTATGGACTTTGAACTTACCGTATTCGACATAATAAGCGCCTATGGCGCTCTCAAAATTAGAAATAGGGGGCTCTTATTAGAATATTATTTGGGTGAAAAACAACAGAGTTCAAAGAGCGTAAATTTCGTGGTTTATGCGGAAATGTTTATATAAGACAGATATATTTTCCAGAATTTAATTGCCCAACATTAAGTGCATATAGCAAACATATTATGCACGAATAAACAGTCTTGTGTACATTTATCAATTGGAAGGGGTGCTAATTGGGATTGTTCATTAGCCAGTATATTAGCAAATATCGCCGTGGGCGCTTATTAGAGCGGGGCGCTCATTACGTCGAATACGGTATTCATTATTTACAGGATGATGTGATCAGGGTTTTACCTGGACTTACGAAAGTCAGGGTCCATGAGACACCCAATAATTACTTTTGAGGTTGGTTGGTTTGTTGTTTAAGCCGCACTCAGCAATATTTCAGCTATATGACGGCAGTCTGTAAATAATCGAGTCTGAACCGGACAATCCAGTGATTGATTACATGAGCATCGATCCACGCAATTGGGATTGATGACATGCATCAACCAAGTCAGCGAGCCTGACCACCTGATCCCGTTAGTCGCCTCTTACAACAAGCATAATCGCCTTTTACGGCAAGCATGGGTTGCTGAAGACCTATTCTACCCTGGATCTTCAAGGGTCTACTTTTGAGGGTCCTTACAGGCAATATAAGGTCATGTAAAGTAATGAAATGGTGTAGTGTACTGTACGTGTTGATAATTACTTTAGAACCTGGAATGAATCAGTGATGATATGGACAGTGGTCATGATTGATGGATGAAATGACAGACACCCATAACTGCTGTTGATGTGCAGTAGCAGAGATACGTCCCTTGGGCACGCTAGAAACCTATGATTGTGGGTTCGAATCCCGGTTCGCCCCGATTATGTTTCTAGGTTTGTTAGCACCATACCCGTGCTCGTGGGTTTCACCGAAGTGGTAAACGTCTGAGACCTGCAACACTTCGGGCTTTCCTCCCACATTAAGCTGACACGCCGCGATATAACTGGAATGCCGGTTTAAGCGGCGTTCAACCCAACTCACTCACTCGCTGATATGCAGTAGGTACAATGAGTATTAATGTGTGTCCCTCAGGTTGCACAATATTTTTTTTCCTGCGTTCATTCTCTTCATTTGTGCGTACTGGACTCACATTTGTCTGTTGCATAAAACCCTGTGTGATAGCGCTGTAAAATTGTTACATTGAAATAACTTCATTGTTATCTGCACTGACTGTAGATGCTGAACTAGGGAGAGGCTAAGTATGTCCCCAGCCACCTATGCTTGTCATATGAGGCGACTGAAATTTGGGTGGTCAGGTGACCTGGTTGATTTGTCATCGTAACCTAACACTAGGGCATGTTGAACCTTGTAGAGATCACTGTTTCTCTGGTACAGACTCCATTTATTACAGGCTTTGTCATGTATATTATTATTACTTAAAAGAAGTTAAGAAATTGGCACTAGTCCTGTAGTCCTTGCCAAACTGCCCAGTAGTTAAGGTGTCATGAGTCCTAGTAGAAATCTGCCATTTTTAAGGGTTTTGCTATATGTTATCATTAGGATGAGTGGACTGAACATGTTGGTTTCTATCACCTGTTAATCTGTCATCTGACAGATTAACTATTGTAATATGAAAGATTCGGGTGGTCAAACTTTTGTTTGAGTAGTATAGCTAGAAATGCATTAAATTCCAAAAAGTAAAAATAAAAATATTTCCTATCCAGAGGTTACATTAGAAAGAGTCTGGTTTTGAGGGAGGCTGGTTTATAGAGATGTTGGACGAGAAAGAGGCTGGTTTAAAGAGAGGCTGGAATACAGAGCGGCCACTGTATACTTATTGCTGTGTGGATATAGGCACTTGTTACGACACTGTTTGTTTCCATTGCAGTATGACAAAGTCTACAAGCTGACATCAGATGCTAAATTTGGTGAGTTTTTCTTTCAAACCCAATCTCCCTTCGTTCCCACGTTGCTAGATACAGAAATCTCCATACAAATTATCATATTCAGTGGGATAGCCCATGGTCTAAGGCGCCTCAATTTGATGTTCAAGTTTGCATTCTGTTTAGTTGTGCCACGTTCCAATGGCATGAATAATATTTTCTGTTGGTCACTGCCATACTCATGCTCATAGCTTTTACCAAAGTGGTAAGCATCTGTAAAGTTTTATTCTGACCATATTTTTTTGTGGCCTTTGCGTTATCCCATGACAGAGTTATCTCCCTTTGTCTTTCACACAATATCACTTCAAGTTTCATTGATGTTTGAGGTATGTATATAAATGTTAAGAGATTGTGATGTCATGGTGTGACTGGGGACTGGTAGTTTTGGGTAACGGTTGAGAGGGGTATGGTGTGTAACGAAAACTGAACCAACTGTGTCTCGTTTGCTTTGTTTTGCTTCCACGTGGAGCTGACATGCTGGGATTTACAAAAAAAATAATACTGTTACCATATTCGACGTAATAAGTGCCCCTGGCGATATTTGCTAATATATTGGCTAGTGAACTATCCCAATTAGCACCCCTTCCGATTGATCAATGTAAAAAAGATTTATTTATTCGCGCATAATACGCACTCGTGTGTTATATGCACCCTTAATTATGGGCAATTAAATTCTGGAAAAATATATCTGTCGTATATAAACGTTTCAGGCCGTCAGCATAAACCACAAAATTTATCTTTCAATTCTGTTTTTTTTTCACCAAAATAATATTTTAATAAGAGCCACCTATTTCTAATTTTGAGAGCGCCCTGGGTGCTTATTACGTCAAATACGGTAAAAGGAATGTAAGACCCCAAATTAATTGTTGTTTTCATCCTCACAATCAAATTATTTCTTCTCCAGTTTCTTGGTATGTGTTTTCAGGGATATTTTCATTTTTTTTTTTAAAATGCAGTAGGCTTACAGATGTACTTGAAATATTGATAATTAAAGTGATGGACCCTCCAAATATATTCACATAAAATAGAATAAATAATAAGAGAAAAAACAACCTGTAGAACAATAGAATACAACATTGTCATGGATTCCTGTGGACTCTTCAGTGAATGTTGGTGAATTCTTTTGCTGATTATTAACAGGACTGTTGGGCTTTTCCTTGTTTAAAACAAAATTAGCTTTTGAGTGAAGACATTAAGGCATGGACAGGAGGACTTTATGTGCATACTACCATGGCGAGAATTGAAGTGGTTAACTTGGTTAACACTATAGGAAGTGTAGTGCATATAACGTGTGCCCACTCTCATTTTCATGACTATCTGACACCATTTTTATACCCCCATTTACCAAGTAAATCGGGGGTATATAGCGTTCCGTCTGTCCGTCCGTCCTTCCTTACGTCCAAGCTTTTGTACGGCCCATAACTTTTTAACCATGCACCCTAGCTTCACCAAACTTGCTACACACATTTACCGCAATGAGTACTTGTGCCTTTTGCTAGTTTGAAGATTCTGAACTTTTTAATTTTTGCTGTTTCCATGGAAACATTAAGAAACTTAAACTTTTAGGGTGGGTGTTTTTTACGGCCTATATCTTTTTAACTATGCACCCTAGCTTCACCAAACTTTCTGCACACATTAACCGCAATGAGTACTTGTGCCTTTTGCTAGTTTGAAGATTCTGAATTTTTTAATTTTTGCCGTTTCCATGGACACATTAAGAAACATCAAGAATGTATGATGTGCTAAGCATTGATTAACCCACACTAGATTGAAATATATTTGCAAAAACATGTGTTCATTTCAAACATAATGCATCCTCATGGGGTTACAAAGGAAAGGGCAGTTCCTCTGACTTAAAGCAACAGGTATATTTCATTAATTAACAAACTATTTACTATTTGTTGTTGACCAGCGAGGAAAACGGGGGTATGTGAGCTTTGCTCACTTCTTTCTTGTTTGCACTCCATAAAATCATCTTGACTGTTCTTGTTTTCCAGAGATGGGTGATGTGAAAGCAAGCATCGCGGCTCTGACATTTATCTTGACGAGTGCGGCCAAATACAGCGTGGATGGAGACACCTTGTCGAACGAGCTCCAACAGCTCGGTCTTCCTAAAGGTAACTCTCTGACTGTAGCAAACTTAACAATCTTCCATTGGAGCTCCCGGTGTCTAGCCGGGAGAGCCACATTTCAGAAATGGCTATTGCCGGTAGAGCCACATTTTCAGCTGAGTGCATTTCACCTACTCTAGCGGGTAATTAATTAATCCGATTACCGATACCTTTATGAGTGTCCCACATATAAAGGTGTTCTTTAGAGATACCTTTAAATGAGTGTCCAGTTCCTACACCGTGTTAGTGACGACATCCTCATCTTCACTACAGACAAGAACATTGAACATTTGTGTGCTGCAGACATTGTATTTTGTGATGGTACATTTTATGCCTGTCCCAAGTTGTTTGATCAGATTTATTGTTTACATGCTGAGGTGTTTGGCCATATGTTTCCATTAGTTTACTGTTTGTTGTCCAATCGAAAAAAAGAGTGTTATGTCAACATGTTTCAGTACCTATGCGATTTTGCTAGTAGAGGAGGTCTAGAGTTTGCCCCACTTACAATTCAGTTGGACTTTGAACGTGCAGCTCACAATGTCGTGACTGTAAATTTTTGATGAATGTGTTAAAAAATGAGAAAACAAGACTTGTTTTGTTATATACGGTAACCTGTTAGAATCACAAAGCATGTTTTGACAGCATAGCCGCGAGAGCCACATTATACAATCACGCAACCATAAACATTGCCGCGAGAGCCACATCAATTTGGGCTATCTATTTTCGAAATGTGGCTTTGCCGGCCTGTAACCGAGCTCCCTGATGCTGACCCCAAGTGGAGTCGGGTTAGAATTGATTCCCAGCAACCCATGCTGGTCATAAAACTGCCCAAATGGATCGGGTGGTCAGACTCAGTGACTTGGTTGATGCATTTCATCTTACCCCGATGTGTAGATCGATGCTCATGATGTTAATCACTGGGTTGTCTGATCCAGATGTGTGATTATTATATACAGGTCGCGACCATATAGCTGGAGTCTTGCTGATTGTGGCTTTTGCCTTGTTGGATATTGTTGGCGTCAAACAACAAACAAAAGTGAAACCTAAATCGGAAGCTTGATTTTGTTTTGTTTATATTTAGCAATCAACAATCTTCAACAAAGGATGCTTGTCATAAGAGGAGAGTATGCTTGTCATAAGAGGCGACTAACAAGATTGTGTAGTCAGGCTCGTTGATTTGGTTCATGCATGTTATCGTATCCCAAGTGTGTAACTCAATACTTGTGTTTTTGATCACTGGATTGCCTGGGCCAGATTGATTATTTACAGGCCGTCACATGGCTGGAATATTGCTGAGTGGGACGTTGAACAACAAACAATGAGGTTCAACTGTCAAACATTGTTCAGGGCTTAAAACATCACGTTGTAGTCAAAACGGCCTCATGTCAGAATGGCCGTAAAACCCAAAAGTCAATATGGCCACAGGTAAAAAGTCAAATTGTCCATGATAATAAGAAATAATTATCCACTTAAGAACTGTTATGCAATGTATATAATACAATTGATGTGAAATAATTTGAGTTCTTCTTCTTGATATTTTGTGTGGCTGTTATGACTTTTTTGTTTTGCCTGTTATGATTTTGTGTGTGGCAGTTGTGACTTTTTTCTGTGGCTGTTTTGACTTAACCTTTTGAGGCCTTTCTGACATGTGGCTGTTTTGACTTAACCTTTTGAGACCTTTCTGACATGAGGCCATTTTGACTTAACCTTTTGAGGCCTTCCTGACATGAGGCTGTTTTGACTTAACCTTTTGAGGCCTTTCTGACATGTGGCCGTTTTGACTTAACCTTTTGAGGCCTTTCTGACATTAGGCCGTTTTGACTTAACCTTTTGAGGCCTTTCTGACATTAGACCGTTTTGACTTTACCTTTTGAGGCCTTTCTGACATTAGGCCGTTTTGACTTAACCTTTTGAGGCCTTTCTGACATGAGGCCGTTTTGACTTAACCTTTTGAGGCCTTTCTGACATGAGGCCGTTTTGACTTTACCTTTTGAGGCCTTTCTGACATTAGGCCGTTTTGACTTAACCTTTTGAGGCCTTTCTGACATGAGGCCGTTTTGACTTAACCTTTTGAGGCCTTTCTGACATGAGGCTGTTTTGACTTAACCTTTTGAGGCCTTTCTGACATGAGACCGTTTTGACTTAACCTTTTGAGGCCTTTCTGACATGAGGCTGTTTTGACTTAACCTTTTGAGGCCTTTCTGACATGAGGCTGTTTTGACTGTTGTCATGTGTTGTATGGTACACAGAACATGCCGGCTCTCTCACCAAGTCCTACAGCGACAGTCTAGACAAGTTACAGATGCGGCTGCAGGAACAGTCTCTCCGCTGTAAGTAGAGCTCACTACCAATCTCATTGAAATCAGATCTTTTACTCTGAGACGACCCGAGCCCATTCCAGGTAAGAGTATAGGTCCCCAGCAACCTGTGATTGTCGTAAGAAGGACTCAATGGATCGGGTGGTCGGTCCCGGTGTCTTGGTTGTTGACATGTTATTGGACCCCATTGGCATATCAATGCTCATGATATCAATCACTGTAATGTCTGGTCCATACTTGATTATTTACCAACTGTCATATAGCTTGAATCAGAGCTGCAGATAAGCTGCATATTTGTGTAAAATATCCCCCCCAAATATTCAAAACCCAAATACTTAAAATTAACTTGCATACAGAAACGCATGCATTAAATGAATAAGTCAAATGTTTAAAAACAGTAAGTGTAAATACCAAATGAAGCTTTTTCAGCATGCAGACAATGGAGCTAATTTACGAGACACAATAACGAACTTATTTACATTTAAAGTCAAGCCTATATTTAGAACCGTTATATACTCTGCTGCAGGGTATGCTACGCAATAGCAGTTCCCCCATTTTGATGATCGCAGATGCGTCACTGTCTGGAGCTTGAAATGAACTCCTGTTAACAACCACCCATGTTGAGGGGAAACGGCAGGTTCCATTCACTGGGGAGAAAATCGTGGCAGCAAACGACACAGAAAAATATGTTGTTTGCTTTGATGACAGTTATTGTAGCAAAACGTGAAGCCCAACAAATTGTGGCATTTATTTTGCATGGAGTTATTTCCATGCGTCCAATATCTGACTGGTTGGTAAATGCTATTTTGACAGAAGTTATTGACAGTGTACACGGAAGAAAAAACGACACACCGGTGTCAGTAAACGATTAATCACAGAATGGAAAACGAAGCTTATTTTTTAAAACAAGGGTGGAACATTTTTGATGAGCTTCAGTTTATGTCATATTTATGAAACGACATTGAAATTAACCAATGTGTGGGCTTACGATGGAACCAGCAACCAGTATTTTTGTTGTTGTTGACATTTTTTATTCCTTTCAAAGGGTTGTACATCAGGTTCCAAGGTTGTACAGTAGGTTTAATCAATTGTAGTGAACATACGTTACCGATAGTCAGATATAAGCATTTATGATAGTATTGCTATTTGAGGCGTTTCTGATCTTTAGCATTATTGTACAGGGCATGATTATTATTTTAATTTGTGTAGGATTTTTCCCCATTTTCGTTCAAATTGTAATAGACCATTGTTCAGCAACCAGTAATATTTGTCACCCAGTGAAAAATGTAATAACCCAATTAAAATAGAAACTTTCAAGAAAAAACTCAGTTGCTCAAAAAGTTATCTGGAGCTGTTGAATATTGCTGCGTTAAATGTTAAACATTTAACATTAAGCGAAACAAAAACGTTTGGTGTGATACATCACCTCTCTGTCTGAAGCCTTTCCATAGGAGGTCACTTCAGGTGAACTTTCTAATCATCCAATCAGTGTCAAGGCTTCTAAATTAACATTCAAACCAGCATCCTTATTTCTATATCTCGGAAAAAATGTTAACCTTCAAGTTCCCAATGTAAATAGTAAGGGCTGGATCATTATTTGTTGTGACTACTGTATTCACTCGATTATTTGGGGCGGTCGGGTAGCCTAGCGGTTAAAGCGTTCGCTCATCCCACCGTAGACCCGGGTTCGATTCCCGACATGGGTACAATGTGTGAAGCCCTTTGCTGGTGTCCCCCGCCGTGATATTGCTGGAATATTGCTAAAAGCGGCGTAAAACAATACTCACTCACTCACTCACTCGATTATTTCTGAGCGCTATAGAAGTTGGTATTGTATGTTTTGTATGTTTTGTGTTTCAGTGTCCTCCCTGGAGAATGTCAAGTGGAGGGTGGACTACATCCTCAGTTCCAGTGAACTGAAGGTTAGTGACAGCATCACCCTCTTGCTTCTCTCAACCTTGTCCCCAGTACCCCTTGCTTGTCCCCAGTACCCCTTGCATGTCCCCAGTACCCCTTGCTTGTCTCCAGTACCCCTTGCATGTCCCCAGTACCCCTTGCATGACCCCAGTACCCCTTGCATGTCCCCAGTACCCCTTGCATGTCCCCAGTACCCCATGCTTGTCCCCAGTACCCCTTGCATGTCCCCAGTACCCCTTGCATGACCCCAGTACCCCTTGCATGTCCCCAGTACCCCTTGCTTGTCCCCAATACCCCTTGCTTGTCTCCAGTACCCCTTGCATGTCCCCAGTACCCCTTGCTTGTCCCCAGTTCCCCTTGCTTCTCTCAACCTTGTCCCCAGTACCCCTTGCATGTCCCCAGTACCCCTTGCATGACCCCAGTACCCCTTGCATGTCCCCAGTACCCCTTGCATGTCCCCAGTACCCCTTGCATGTCCCAAGTACCCCTTGCATGTCCCCAGTACCCCTTGCATGACCCCAGTACCCCTTGCATGTCCCCAGTACCCCTTGCATGACCCCAGTACCCCTTGCATGTTCCCAGTACCCCTTGCATGTCCCCAGTACCCCTTGCATGTCCCCAGTACCCCTTGCATGACCCCAGTACCCCTTGCATGTCCCCAGTACCCCTTGCATGACCCCAGTACCCCTTGCATGTCCCCAGTACCCCTTGCATGTCCCCAGTACCCCTTGCATGACCCCAGTACCCCTTGCATGTCCCCAGTACCCCTTGCATGACCCCAGTACCCCTTGCATGTCCCCAGTACCCCTTGCATGTCCCCAGTACCCCTTGCATGTCCCCAGTACCCCTTGCTTGCCCCCAGTACCCCTTGCATGTCCCCAGTACCCCTTGCATGTCCCCAGTACCCCTTGCTTGTCTCCAGTACCCCTTGCTTGTGCCCAGTACCCCTTGCTTCTCTCAACCTTGTCCCCAGTACCCCTTGCATGTCCCCAGTACCCCTTGCATGTCCCCAGTACCCCTTGCTTGTCCCCAGTACCCCTTGCTTCTCTCAACCTTGTCCCCAGTACCCCTTGCATGTCCCCAGTACCCCTTGCATGTCCCCAGTACCCCTTGCATGACCCCAGTACCCCTTGCATGTCCCCAGTACCCCTTGCATGTCCCCAGTACCCCTTACATGTCCCCAGTACCCCTTGCTTGTCGCCCAGTACCCCTTGCATGACCCCAGTACCCCTTGCATGTCCCCAGTACCCCTTGCTTGCCCCCAGTACCCCTTGCATGTCCCCAGTACCCCTTGCATGTCCCCAGTACCCCTTGCTTGTCTCCAGTACCCCTTGCTTGTGCCCAGTACCCCTTGCTTCTCTCAACCTTGTCCCCAGTACCCCTTGCATGTCCCCAGTACCCCTTGCATGTCCCCAGTACCCCTTGCTTGTCCCCAGTACCCCTTGCTTCTCTCAACCTTGTCCCCAGTACCCCTTGCATGTCCCCAGTACCCCTTGCATGTCCCCAGTACCCCTTGCATGACCCCAGTACCCCTTGCATGTCCCCAGTACCCCTTGCATGACCCCAGTACCCCTTGCATGTCCCCAGTACCCCTTGCATGACCCCAGTACCCCTTGCATGTCCCCAGTACCCCATGCTTGCCCCCAGTACCCCTTGCATGTCCCCAGTACCCCTTGCTTGTCTCCAGTACCCCTTGCTTGTGCCCAGTACCCCTTGCTTCTCTCAACCTTGTCCCCAGTACCCCTTGCATGTCCCCAGTACCCCTTGCATGTCCCCAGTACCCCTTGCTTGTCGCCCAGTACCCCTTGCATGACCCCAGTACCCCTTGCTTGTCCCCAGTACCCCTTGCTTGTCCCCATTACCCTTGCTTGGCCCCAGTACCCCTTGCTTGTCCCCAATACCCCTTGCTTGTCACCTGATTATGACTTTTGATGGAGAGAATAGATCTATAGTAGTTTGCATAATTCTCAAAAATCAATCTTTGTCATCAAATGTTTTTATCAGTTTAAGGTTATACCATACATGATGATGAGATGTCTTGCCAATTTCAGTATTATTGTGGTGGTTTTTAATTGATGTATACAGATAAATAAATGGTCAAATTCATTACATAATCCTTTAAGACATTGTCAGACAACTACCAAATTTGGTAAGCACTTCAGGACATTTTGGATGACAATCAGTCAATGTCCCAGAAATGAATTGATCTGAAACCTAGTACATCTATTGCCATGTGATGGTTTAAAATGGATTCATATGTTTTACCTTACCTGGTGTTGCGTCATGTAAGTATAAAAACATTGCATTGAATCAGAAATCCTCATTTTCATCAGGATATCAACGAGCCAAGTGTGCAGATAAGGCTTGAAATGAAGAGCCCAGACACACAGTCAACAGAACCCGTGGCCTTCACTGTATCTGCAGACAAGTTCAGAGTACTCCTTAATGGTAGGTGATATTGTGGGTAATACGATGGGGAACCAGAGCCCTGTCCACCTAACCTGTGGCCTTCACTGTATCTGCAGACAAGTTCAGAGTACTCCTTAATGGTAGGTGATATTGTGGGTAATACGATGGGGAACCAGAGCCCTGTCCACCTAACCTGTGGCCTTCACTGTATCTGCAGACAAGTTCAGAGTGTCCCTTAATGGTAGGTGATATTGTGGGTAATACGATGGGGAACCAGTGGCCTTCACTGTATCTGCAGACAAGTTCAGAGTGTCCCTTAATGGTAGGTGATATTGTGGGTAATACGATGGGGAACCAGAGCCCTGTCCACCTAACCTGTGGCCTTCACTGTATCTGCAGACAAGTTCAGAGTGTCCCTTAATGGTAGGTGATATTGTGGGTAATACGATGGGGAACCAGTGGCCTTCACTGTATCTGCAGACAAGTTCAGAGTACTCCTTAATGGTAGGTGATATTGTGGGTAATACGATGGGGAACCTGTGGCCTTCACTGTATCTGCAGACAAGTTCAGAGTGTCCCTTAATGGTAGGTGATATTGTGGGTAATACGATGGGGAACCCGTGGCCTTCACTGTATCTGCAGACAAGTTCAGAGTGTCCCTTAATGGTAGGTGATATTGTGGGTAATACGATGGGGAACCCGTGGCCTTCACTGTATCTGCAGACAAGTTCAGAGTACTCCTTAATGGTAGGTGATATTGTGGGTAATACGATGGGGAACCTGTGGCCTTCACTGTATCTGCAGACAAGTTCAGAGTGTCCCTTAATGGTAGGTGATATTGTGGGTAATACGATGGGGAACCAGTGGCCTTCACTGTATCTGCAGACAAGTTCAGAGTGTCCCTTAATGGTAGGTGATATTGTGGGTAATACGATGGGGAACCAGTGGCCTTCACTGTATCTGCAGACAAGTTCAGAGTACTCCTTAATGGTAGGTGATATTGTGGGTAATACGATGGGGAACCTGTGGCCTTCACTGTATCTGCAGACAAGTTCAGAGTGTCCCTTAATGGTAGGTGATATTGTGGGTAATACGATGGGGAACCAGTGGCCTTCACTGTATCTGCAGACAAGTTCAGAGTGTCCCTTAATGGTAGGTGATATTGTGGGTAATACGATGGGGAACCAGTGGCCTTCACTGTATCTGCAGACAAGTTCAGAGTGTCCCTTAATGGTAGGTGATATTGTGGGTAATACGATGGGGAACCTGTGGCCTTCACTGTATCTGCAGACAAGTTCAGAGTGTCCCTTAATGGTAGGTGATATTGTGGGTAATACGATGGGGAACCAGTGGCCTTCACTGTATCTGCAGACAAGTTCAGAGTGTCCCTTAATGGTAGGTGATATTGTGGGTAATACGATGGGGAACCAGTGGCCTTCACTGTATCTGCAGACAAGTTCAGAGTGTCCCTTAATGGTAGGTGATATTGTGGGTAATACGATGGGGAACCAGTGGCCTTCACTGTATCTGCAGACAAGTTCAGAGTACTCCTTAATGGTAGGTGATATTGTGGGTAATACGATGGGGAACCTGTGGCCTTCACTGTATCTGCAGACAAGTTCAGAGTGTCCCTTAATGGTAGGTGATATTGTGGGTAATACGATGGGGAACCAGTGGCCTTCACTGTATCTGCAGACAAGTTCAGAGTGTCCCTTAATGGTAGGTGATATTGTGGGTAATACGATGGGGAACCAGTGGCCTTCACTGTATCTGCAGACAAGTTCAGAGTGTCCCTTAATGGTAGGTGATATTGTGGGTAATACGATGGGGAACCAGTGGCCTTCACTGTATCTGCAGACAAGTTCAGAGTGTCCCTTAATGGTAGGTGATATTGTGGGTAATACGATGGGGAACCAGTGGCCTTCACTGTATCTGCAGACAAGTTCAGAGTGTCCCTTAATGGTAGGTGATATTGTGGGTAATACGATGGGGAACCAGAGCCCTGTCCACCTAACCTGTGGCCTTCACTGTATCTGCAGACAAGTTCAGAGTACTCCTTAATGGTAGGTGATATTGTGGGTAATACGATGGGGAACCAGAGCCCTGTCCACCTAACCTGTGGCCTTCACTGTATCTGCAGACAAGTTCAGAGTACTCCTTAATGGTAGGTGATATTGTGGGTAATACGATGGGGAACCAGTGGCCTTCACTGTAACTGTTGGACATACAAAAGGTGTCTGGCTGTTTTGTCAACTGCATCTTGCAGAATACGGGAAACTTCTTCAGAGGTCACTCTTTGTTACCAGAATCTGCATTTCGCTGTGGAGAGTTGCGTCCCTTGGGCATGCCAGAAACCTATGATTGTGGGTTCGAATCCCGGTTTGCCCCGATTATGTTTCTAGGTCTATCATCACCATACCCGTACTTGTGGGTTTCACTGAAGTGGGTTTTCTTTGGGCTTTCCTCCCACATTAAGCTGACACTAGAATACTGTTAAAAGTGGCGTTAAACCCGACTCTCTCACTCTAAAATAATAATACTAGAAACATGTACATGTATGAAATACAATTGCCTGGAGAGCAATTTGAAGGCACAGGCTGTACATGCTCCAAACAAAGCTGAATTTATCTACTAAATGAACAGAGTCTGTGTTGAGGAAGAGGGTTAGAAATTGCTCATATTACTAATCACATTGTACCAAGCCAATTGCCAGGCAGATTGTCTCCCTTTGGTGAGAGAAATGTCAAACATGGCAGGTGTGTTCTGAATGTTTTCATTTGCTTTGTAAGATTTGTTTTCATCTGTGTTTTTCAGAATTGAAGCATGCTGATTCCATGATGGATACCCTGGCATCATAGCATCTTCCTCCCACTGAACTTCTTCCGACTCTATTGGAACTCGGGCAGTTTTGACATAATATAGGAACTGCTGTTACAGTCGTGTCATTTGAAACATGTGCTTAAAAGTCTGTAAGCCATTGTAATTGATGTCAGAGCAGAAACTAAAGGTCTTTTAAGGAAAATTGTTGACCAAAGAGCAATCCCATTGAGGATTCACTTAGGGCTAGGACAATCTAAATTTACTTCCTGGTACACATCCCCCTATTACCCGACCCTACCCGGGTACCTGCTGTAGGTCTCAAGAGATATGTACAAAATGTCCGAGAGGCAATAGTTTGACCAGAGCAAATAGGCATAAAACTATCTGGTCATGCATATCTAAAGTTGACTGAAGCTTTATCTTTATACAAAAATATATAAGTCAGAAGGAATGTGTGAATAGTCCGAAAGAAATGTGAACATTCATGACCTGTCATGTGTTCACAGAGGCTGAGATAATTTTTGTCTTTAAACAATATATCAAGTTACTAACAATGGGTCTGGGTAGTCCTGTAGGTACCAAGTCCTACTCTGTACCCCTCGACCCAAGTAACTGGGTTTCCCGTCCCAGCCCTAGATTCATTAATAACGCCTCCCTTCAGGGGACACCAGGGTCCACTTGCACAAAGCTATCTTAGCGCTAAGATGATCGTAACTCCCATACTTTAACATAGGCTTACGATAGTCTTAGCGCTAAGATGATCGTAACTCCCATACTTTAACATAGGCTTACAATAGTCTTAGCGCTAAGATCGCTTTGTGCATGTGGGCCCAGGTCACATTCCCAGTACTCCATGCTTGTTTGTTAGAGACAACTTTAAAGGAAAGGGTTGTTATACAGTAAGTGATCTGGCTGACTGTATATCAATATTAGTCTGCTTGATCAAATATTTGTTAATCTGGAAACGCTATATGATGTTTCACTGATCAAATAAACGTCATTTGATATATAGGTTTACATTCCATGAAACTGTATTGAGATGTATGTAAATAAATGTCTTTTGAATAAGTGGTTATTTGTTATTAAGTGGCTGGTTTATGTACGTCACAAACCCTTGAAGATCCTGGTTAGATTTGATTGGCCGCAACCCATGCTTGTACCACCGTGAGGGTCTGGGTTAGAATTCATCTTCAGCAACCCATGCTTGTATCCCCATTAAGATCTGAGTTCGAAAAAGTCTTCAGCAGCCCATGCTTGTACCACCGTGAGGGTCTGGGTTAGAATTCATCTTCAGCAACCCATGCTTGTATCCCCATTAAGATCTGAGTTCGAAAAAGTCTTCAGCAGCCCATGCTTGTACCCCTGTGAAGATCCGGGGTAGAATAGATCTTCAGCTACCCATGCTTGCACCCCTGTGAAGATCCGGGATAGAATAGATCTTCAGCAACCAATGCTTGTACCCCAGTGAAGATCTGGGTTAGAAAAAGTCTTCAGCAGCCCATGCTTGTACCCCAGTGAAGATCTGGGTTAGAATTGGTCTTCAGCAACCCATGCTTGTACCACCGTGAGGGTCTGGGTTAGAATTGGTCTTCAGCAACCCATGCTTGTAGCCCAGTGAAGATCGGGGTTAGAAAAAGTCTTCAGCAGCCCATGCTTGTACCACCGTGAGGGTCTGGGTTAGAATTCATCTTCAGCAACCCATGCTTATATCCCCCTTAAGATCTGAGTTCGAAAAAGTCTTCAGCAACCCATGCTTGTACCCCTGTGAAGATCCGGGGTAGAATAGATCTTCAGCTACCCATGCTTGCACCCCTGTGAAGATCCGGGGTAGAATAGGTCTTCAGCAACCCATGCTTGTACCCCTGTGAAGATCCGGGGTAGAATAGATCTTCAGCTACCCATGCTTGCACCCCTGTGAAGATCCGGGGTAGAATAGGTCTTCAGCAAACCATGCTTGAACCCCTGTGAAGATCCGGGGTAGAATAGGTCTTCAGCAAACCATGCTTATACCCCTGTGAAGATCCAGGGTAAAATAGGTCTTCAGCAACCCATCCTTGTACCCCATGAAGATCCGGGGTTGAATAGGTCTCCAGCAAACCATGCTTGTACCCCTGTGAAGATCCGGGGTAGAATAGATCTTCATCAACCCATGCTTGTACCCCTGTGAAGATCCGGGGTAGAGTAGGTCTTCAGCAACCCAGGCTTGTTGTAAGAGGCGATGGGGTGGTCAGGGCATGCTGACCCCGTTGATTAATGTCATCGTATCCAATTTGCCTACATCGATGCTCAGGACGTCATACAGCTGGCATATGGCTTAGTATGGGGTTAGACTGCAAACAAACACGCCAAAACTTTACAATATCACTTACGCTTGACAAACCTCTCAATCCAGCACCAAGACTTTAATTGCATTTCATGGTCAATACTTGTTCGTGTTCAGAGGAAATATTCGTTTTGAAGAAAACGGAGTATTATTCAATTTATACATTCATGGAATTCAGGTTTAGAACTGCTCCCCAGCAACCTATGCTGTCTGTAAGAGGTGAAGGGAAGGTGTAGTCAGGCTCTGTGACTTGATCAACATAATCACTGGACTGTCTGGTCCAGACTGATCAGCCGCTCTCATATAACAGCATTGGACAACACATGCACGCACGCACGCACGCACGCACGCACTGGCACACATGCACCCACGCACGCACACACCCACGCACACATGTATCTGTGATGTATGGTCGGAAGTGGTATCTGCAGTCTCAGACGCCCATCATTCCCTATGGCCTCATTTGAGCTGAGGGAACGGCCGACAATTACCCTTGGGACAGTGGTACCAGTCAGTACGCTGTAGCAAGTTGCGCCACATGGACATATTTCAGCTGATCATGAGTTGGATCCCTAAATTCGACTCTAGTATGCCCTTAGTCTTGTCAGCACAATGTCTGTGCTGGTGGGTTTCACCAAAGTGGTAAATGTCCAAGACTCTTACCATATTCGACGTAATAAGCGCCCCGCTCTAATAAGCGCCCATGGCGATATTTGCTAATATATTGGCTACTGAACTATCCCAATAAGCATCCCTTCCGATTGATCAATGTACACAATACTTATTTATTCGTGTAAAATACGCACTCGTGTGTTATATGCACCCTTATATATGAGCAATTAAATTCTGGAAAAATGTATCTCCTATATATAAACATTTCAGGCTGTCAGCATAAACCACAAAATTTATCTTTCAACCCTGGTTTATTTTCATCAAAATAATATTCTAATAAGAGTCCTCTATTTCTAATTTTGAGAGCGCCCTGGGCGCTTATTACGTCGAATACGGTAAGTCTTCCCTTCCACTTGAAGCTGACACACTGTGATACAACACAAGGCTCAGGCAGACATGTCACTAGTTCAAATTGTCACCTACGTGTTCCTGACACCTATAGTCGTTGGTTCGAATCCCGGTTCGACTCGGGTTTTCACCAAAGTGGTAAATGTCCAAGACACTTAAGACATTTAGTCTTCCCTTCCACATGAAGCTGACACACTGCGATACAACACAAGGCTCAGGCAGACACGTGTTCCTGACACCAAGGGTCGTGGGTTTGAATCCCGGTTTTCACCAAAGTGGTAATGTCTAAGACCTGCATCACTTCAGGCTTCCCTGTCACAGCAAGCTGACACACTGTGATATAACTAAATACACTGTTGAAACTCACAACCGGACTGCATGGATCAACCAGTGAAGATCCGGGTCAGAACATGTCTTCAGCAACCCATGCTTGCCGTAAAAGGCGAGTATGCTTGTTGTAAGAGGCAACTTAGGAGATCGGGTGGTCAGCTCGCAGACTTGGTTGATGCATGTCATCATATCCCAATTGCGCGGATCGATGCTCATGATGTTAATCACTGCATTGTCTGGTCAAATTTGATCATTTACAGACTGCCGCATAAAGCTGGATTATTGCCGAGTGCGGTGTTAAACAACAAACAAACAGAAAGCATGGATCATTGCGGATTGCGACGTAAAACAATATTTCACCATTCAGTAGAAAGTTTGGCACGGCAGAACAGACAAATAAAGATTAGAGGCAGTTATCTACAATATCTTTATTTATACATTTGCAAATAGAACGTACTAATATGTACAATAGCAGTCATTATATGGAAGACGTCAGTATGTTAGAAGTGAGTAAGATAGGCTATCTCGACCAGCACAGTGTAAAAGGATACTGTCGCTGAAGGGGTCATTATCGGTACAGGTACTACAGATGTGTACCCCAGGTACCTTCCCGTATACAGAAATGGACCCTTGCCAAAATCAGTTCATATTATAATCTGGTTCGCCTGATGACGACTGCATGCTGGATAGTGCTGTGCATTTTGGAATATTTGAGTAACGTATGGTGTTTATTTGTTTTTCATTTAGCACACTGAAATGCATGTCGTACAACAGTATGACAGTTCTGATCCATTATGAAAGGAAATTCTGAGAGAAATATATTCAAAGTGTCCTGCCATGTTGAATTTTCCCGATGTTTGGCATCCAGGACTTGTCGTATACAGAAGCGTTCAAGGAACCGGTTGAACGCATTGGTATCGGCGGAATGGTATCATCCAGGGTACCTTTTCGTTTTCTGATTTGTCCAGGGAACAAAGATGTAGTACCTGTGCCGACAACGACCCATTCGGCGATACTGTTGTGAACTTGGTGTAAATATTGATTGTTGAGAGTGTTTTTAACGGGTTCCATATATCTTATATCTGCCAGGTTCACAGGAACTCGTTATTGGTCAGTAAATAAAAATATTTATAATACCTCCATGTCAGAATGATCGGATTCGTCCACATGATCTTGATGAAATACTGTGTAACCCGCCCTGGAGGGTAATAAATTTCTCAGCAGGGGAATAAATCTCTTATACCCCGCCACGAGCAATACAGGCTGCATGTGGAATTCTCAGAGGCAGAACAAATCCCTTATACCCCGCTTCAAAGCAAAAAGCCGCACGCTTCAATCAATTGATGTCACTTGACATAGCACAAGTTAACCTCAGCTTATTCGAACAGCTGTTTTCAATCAATTTTGAATTTGTGTTAATTTCTTTTTACAGTGTCACATTTAAGATAAATTTGCTGTAGCAGGATCACTTCGGGTACATGGGGTTTTATGCATCCTGCGGTAGGGATGTATAACCCCATGTACCCCAAAGATCCGGCTACAACTTATAATACCCCCTTTTTATAAGAAGAGAATAGGGGGTACATATTTTTATTTACTGACAAATAACGAGTTCCTGTGGTCAAGTGACAGTAAGTTATTTTCAAAAGCTTCTTTTATACGCCAGAACCTGGTGGAACCTGAATCGCAGTCAAGTGTTTAGTCATGACACTTCTACGATCAGCCCAAGGGTGACGTAGTCAGCGGGATAACCCGACTGGTTTTCAATGCTAAGGGTTGAGAGATGAATTGTATAGTTTCGGGGTTGAAGGCCTTTTTTCAGCTTTCTGTTATATGTTATGTGGCAATCATTAAAGTTATAAATATTATAATTCTAGGGACTGCATGTTGGAGGAAGAGTGTACAGTCGATAAGCCCAGTCTGGTTAATGCTGCCATATAAGGCGGAATCTGGTTATGAGGACACTGTCATGTGTTAAGTATGAATATTCATATGTTTGAGGTTATTGGTGAGGGACATAACCAGAGGACGCGCATTCAAGGAGTGAGTGAGTGAGTTGGGTTTAACGCCGCTTTTAACAGTATTCCAGTTATATCCCGGCGTGTCAGCTTAATGTGGGAGGTCTCAGACGTTTACCACTTTGGTGAAACCCACGAGCACTGGTATGGTGCTGACAAACCTAGAAACATAATCGGGATTCGAACCCACAATCATAGGTTTGTGGCGTGCCCAAGGGACCCAACTCTGCACAGCGAATCATGGAGCCTTAGACAACTGGGCCACCCGTGCCCCCAGCATTCAAGGAAGGTAGCAAGAACTTAGATCTGATTTTAAAGAGATTGGTTTTCAGCTGTTTGTCAGTGTGGGACCGGTCATTTATTATAGGGGTGGGTGGGTCAGAGGCATTCATAGGAGGATCACCAAAATGTATGACAGTCTCTCGGGGAGGGTCATAAAAAATAATACACATATTTGGGGAGGGTCATGAGTGAGTGAGTGAGTTGGGTTTAACGCCGCTTTTAACATTATTCCAGTTACATCGCTGCGTGTCAGCTTAATGTGAGTGGAAAGGCCGAAGTGATGCAGGTCTCAGACGTTTACCACTTCAGTGAAACCCACGAGCACGGGTATGGTGCTGACAAACCTAGAAACATAATCATTGGTTTCTGGCGTGTCGAAGGGACGCAACTCTGCACAGCGAATCGCGGCGCCTTAGACGACTGGGCCATCCGTGCCCCCTGGAGGGTCATGAAAAAATGGATATTTAATAATATAATATTCAGCCCTTTTGCATTTTTTCTTTTCAGGGAGGGTCATGAAAAAAGTGTACAAGGACGTGGGTCCAAAAATATGACAAGCATTAGGGGAGGGTTATTGTTTCTCTCACTATTCCCTCTGCACCACACACACTGTTATAAATGACCGGTCCAATGGTAACCCATATGGCCTTTGATTTCTACCTTGTTTTAAAACAGGACACGAGGAAAGAAATATTTCATTCTCGGAGTCTTGTTTCTTCATATTAAAGCCAATATTTTTCATCAATTAATAATAAGATTTGAACTGACGTTTCTATTCTGCTCTTATGATTAACTATACTATCTAGATTGTATCTATATAACTGAAGCAGGTATTGATAGTAAGGGTTTTGTCTAAAACCAATGCCAAATGCATATCTTCATAGAGTCTTCAGTTGGGCCTACCGTTAGAAGTCACTATCACAGCATCGTGCCCATGAATGCAGTTTACTAGCATTTAAAAATTGACTGCAATATTTTTTTGCGTTTATGGAGATGTAAACATAAAAAACAGATTTACACAAAGTATGCACACCGTTTTTAAACTTTTATACCTCAATAAATGCAAAAACATATTGGAGTCAATTCTTATAAATAAATACGTCAACACTAATAACTTCACAGACTACGTACTTAATCATTAACAAAAAGACACTGTTGACAATGCCAAATCAGTGACATCGTTCAGCGCAATAAACAAGCCCCGCCCATTCTATTTTCAACCAGGTAAGAACAATAGTCCATTAGTGGGCGTGGCCTAATGGATTTTTCCGCTTTGTGGAAACATGAAACACAAATAAAATTGCCATGGAATCACTTGAAATTTATCTATAAAGTTTTTATTTATGGACGATGCATACATCCACATCCAACTGATTTGAGGTGGAAAAACATTCATTCTTTCTGATGGAGGTGCCACGATACGATTTATGTTCTTGATAATGTTGTTTTTTTTCTGTGATAAAAAAGACAAACGATGAACTTATACTGATAGAAATAAATAAGGGGACACATAATGGAGAATAACGGTTACTGCTTCATCAACCGAGTTCGGGTTCACCGCCACCTTCTAGATCCATTTTGTGCCATGTTCATTATTCAGCCTTGCTTGACAACAGTATAAGGATCTTCACTTTGTCTCTACTTTGTCAGGGTATGGCGTGTTGACAACAGTATAAGGATCTTTACTTTGTCTCTACTTTGTCAGGGTATGGCGTGTTGACAACATTGCCAAACAATCTTCCTGATATTGCACAACTAACCTCACAACCATGTTTTTATTTTTTTCCCTGTGTATTTCTAAATTACAAGCCCTCTTTATAACAGATCAAGAGATCCATGCACATATCCTCTCGGGGCCTTGGATGACCTAAGGCGCTACAACAGCGGTGCAGAATTGTGTCCCATCGCCGTGCTAGCTTCTGATAGTCTGGGTTCAAATCCAAGACAAGCCCCGATTATGATCCTTGGTTTGTAGGCTACGTACCGCGTGGGTGATACCCTCAAGCAGGTCACGATGATGACTAACTCAGGACCATAAGACCCCCGTGGGGACAAACTCGGTCCCCAGCAAGCTTTGCTGCTCAAATTAATCACTGGATTGTCTGGTACAGACTCGATTATATACAGGCCGCCGTGAAGTAGCTGGAATATTGCTGAGCGTGGCCAAATAAACTGCAACAGGATCATAAGCTCCCAACAGCTAGGGACGCAATTCCGCACAGTCCCGCCTCAAATCACTTTACGACCCCTGACACCGACATATGTATGTACAGTTTTAGTAACTGTCGTTATGTTGTTATTACATAATGATACCCTTAAATGACCTTGACCTTGATGAGCCGAACATTCGACACAGAGCCGGTGAGCTCACTTTAAAGCCTGTCTCTTGGGGCGCGGTAACTCTACCCCCTTGCTGCCCCGCCTTCCCTTTGTCGACTGCGCGATCTCGTCCATGATGGGGGTGATCAGCTGGAACTGCGGGTCCTTGTGGCTGAAGCAGGCAAAGATGAACCGCCCTGGCCCGAATGGCGTCCTTCCGATCAAGAAGTTGGCAAAGATCTGCTCATAGCTAGTTGCATCCAGTGGGTACATACCGTTCTGCAAAAGGTTGAAATTGTTTTTTAAGTTTTGTTTGTTGTTTAACGCCGTAATATTCCTGTTATGTCACGGCAGTCATTACATAATCGAGTCTGGACGGGACAATCTAGTGACTGACATCATGAGCATCGACCCACGCAGCTAGACACACAATCAACCAAGTCAACCTCACAATCCGATCCATTTGGGGGCCTCTTGCGACAAGCACAGATTTCTGAAGACCTATATTCTTACCGGAATCCCCAGGGCTCTTTACGAAAATAGGGGGCACGAAAATAGTCATATAAGGCACCGCGCTTCGCTGTGCAGAGTTGCGTCCCTTGGGCACGCCAGAAACCTATGATTGTTGGTTCGAATCCCGGTTCGCCCCGATTATGTTTCTAAGTTTGTCAGCACCATACCCGTGCTCCTGGGTTTCACCAAAGGGGTAAACGTCTGAGACCGGCATCACTTTGGGCTTTCCTCCCACATTAACTGATACGCCGCGATATAACTGGAATAATGTTAAAAGCGGTGTTAAACCCAACTCACTCACTCACTTTACGTAAATACTGTGACACATGTGCCATGCATTAAGAGATGTTGTATTGATATACAATGACACGGACTGCCCCCCCGAGAATGGCAAGTTGGCCAAGTCTACGGGGCCACAATTCGCAATCCAAAGTCACGTCATTTCGGCTTTTCAGGATTTCGAATCTTAGATTATGGTTCTTGGCAGATAATCATCAGTGTTTCACCAAAACTGTACATGTATAATTAAGGTCTGGGTTTCTTCAGGTTTCACTCCACATTAAACTGACCCGTGAAGATCCGGGGTAGAATAGGTCTTCAGCAACCCATGCTGGTCATAAGAGGCGACTAACAGGATCGGGTGGTCAGGCTCTCTTGCTTGGTTGATGCATGTCATTGTGTCCCAATTGCGTGGATCGATACTCATTATGTCAGTCACTGGATTGTCTGGTCCAGACTCGATTATTTACAGACCGCTGTCATATAGCTGAGTGCAGTGTTAAACAACAAACAAAGAAGATAGACACGCATATACTCCGTCAAACATCATTATGGCTTTTCGCAATTATTTTCATTAAACACGCAGTCATGAGACGAAAATTGGTTAAATCATTGACCAAAATATAAATATCAGTTTTGTAATATTTCATGTCCGACTAAAAATATTTTCTTCATTGTTGTGTATTTTTGTGACTGCTGACACGATCCTGTAATGGGATTTGACATCCCACAACGATGACATAATTTGTCAAACATACTTGGCTTGTGATTTGGCCTCAGTTAATCCGGCTTTACTCACATCTGTCATCTGGTCGATGGCCTTCTTGGCTTGGCTCTTGGCCTCTGCTGGGTCCACGTCACACATTTTTTCATAGAAAACACAGAGCTCGTCCTCATCGATCTCGTTATCTCCTGGAAAACCGAAAGGGGAAGTGCAACATGTTATTATATCAGGTCATGTCACAGTCACGACTTGACAGGTGCAGTAGGCAGATTGTACTTTTTACGAACTTCATCAACCATCTTCCCCTGTTAGTGTAAAAGCCTTACATATGTCTGCCCTCATCTCTCCACCTCCCATCTATCCCCCTGCCCCCTCCCATCCCCCCTTCCCATCCACTCCCCCCCCTGTTGTTACAATCCTTCTGATGTCTGTCCTAACCTCCCCCATCCCATCTGTCCTCACCTCCCCCCTCCCATCTGTCCTCACCTCTCCCCTCCCATCTGTCCTCACCTCCCCTCCCATCTGTCCTCACCTCCCCCCTCCCATCTGTCCTCACCTCTCCCTTCCCATCTATCCCCCTACCCCCTCCCGTCCTTACCTTCCCCCTCCCATCTATCCCCCTACCCCCTCCCATCTACTCCCTACCCCCCCCCCCCCCCCCCCAACTCTCCTGTTGTTACAGTCCCACTTATGTCTGTCCTCACCTCCCATACATTCCTCCCCCCCCCTCCCTGTTGTTACAGTCCTACTGATGTCTGTCCTCACCTTCCCCCTTCCCTATTATCCCCACCCCCATCCATTCTCTCTCCCCACCCCTCCACCCACCCACCTTCCCTTCTGTCTTTCTGATGTCTCGACTCACCATTCCTGTCAATTATTCTGAAGAGCGTCTCCGGCAGGAGCCTCATCCACACCGGAAAGTTCTGCATCCCCATGGTGCCCGGCAACAACTTCTCCCACATGTTGATCCACTCCGTCAGACTCACCTCATCTACATCAACGACAACAACATGATCAAGATTATTAACACATCTAGGCTTTTACGTTGAAAGGTGGGGGAATGTTCTACCCATTGCCGACTAACTGATAGTATCTTAATTCGCTTTTATGATAATAATAATGATGATGATGGTGATGATGATAATCATTGCATTGAGTTAATGTGCAGTGTGTTGAGAAGATCAGCAACCCTGCAGAGTCCTTCGCTTGGATGAAGTCGGCTGGTCTGAAAAGTGAAACAGGGCTTTCTGTTTGCTACTCAGGACCAGTCACTTCCAAATCGAAACCGTCAATGTGTGAATATGTAAATATGAATTGTAGATTATGCAATGGATTTAATGAGACTGTCAAACACATTGTCAGAGGATGCCCAGCTTTGGCACAGACACAGTATCTAAAGCGACATGATGGAATGGCTCGATCCTTTTACTACAGTCTTCGCCATATGCTTGTGGTCCATCCATGGTATGACCCGGAATATGTAGAGGGCGTTATGGAAAATGATAAATACAAAATTCTTTGGAATAGGACCATATACAGCCTCAGACATATCCAGGTCAACAAACCTGACCTTGTCCTTTTTGATAAATTCAATGAAATCAATTATATTGTTGAATTTTCTGTCCCTTTTGACACAAATATGATTGACAAGATTGAGGAAAAACATGGCAAATATACAGACCTCGCTTTCGAAATGTCATGCTTGCATCCCAAGTACCAAGTTGTCCCATTCCCCATTCCCCATTGTTCTCGGTGCCTTAGGTTTGGTACCTCCCAATCTGTTGACTGACATTGAGAGAGTACCCGCGTTTGCTACCAGGAATACATTCTCCGAAAGGTTCTGGGTTGGTTCGACGAGGCAGCGCTTCCTGGGAGAAGTCCCATTCGCTGTTTCAGCTGCGTGTAGAGGGAGCAAGGGCCCAGGGCTGATGATGAGCCTAACCAGCCTGACTGTGCCAGGATCACCCAAACCCGCTTTGCTGCATTTTTTTATTTTAATCTGTTCATCCTCATCATCATCATTATCTTAAAATATACATAGCACATCTTATTCAGGTACTCCTTGAACAGCAAAGCTGGTTCTACCCTCAACAAAACAATGACAATTTCTTAATTGGCTCTTAAGTCAAATACATGAGAAGAGAAAATATTCTCACGCTTCGGTTCGGAAGAATCACCCTCCACCCGCTCAAACAACACCTCGAAGAACGCCTCGTGGACTTCAGCTGACTTCATGGCCTGTTGCGAATCCTCTGCCCACCCAGTGAAGTTCAGGATACGCTGAAAATGATGAGATTTTACAGGTGCTTCCTATGGAGCTGATTTTGCAAAAGCTAAAACAAATTGACCTGCTTGTGGAACATGAGACTCCTGACTAGAAGCAGACCTCTTGATCGCGAATGAGTGAGTGAGTATGGTTTTACGCCGCTTTTAGCAATATTCCAGCAATATCACAGTGGGGGACACTAGAAATGGGCTTCACACATTGTACATATTTCAGGAATCGAACCCAGGTCTTCGGTGTGTCGAACGAAAGCTTTAACCACGAGACTACCCCGCTGCCCCCGATGGCGAATAAGGTTATGTTTGTTTGTTGTTTATTGCTTAACGCCACACTCAGAAATATTCCAGCTATATGACGGCAGTCTGTAAATAATCGAGGCTGGACCAGACAATCCAGTGATTGGCACCATGAGCATTGATCCACGCAATTGGCATACGATGACATACATCAACCAAGCCGGCGAGGCTGACCACAAGATCCCGTTAGTCGCATCTTACGACAAGCGTAGTCGCCTTTTACGGGCAACATGGGTTGCTGAAGACCTATTCTACCCCGGATCTTCATGGGTCGAATGAGGTTATGACAGTTATGCGGATGAAAGTATTGATTCTCCAGTAGTGTCTAGAGGAAGAGTTCAGTATGAACAATCTGGTCCCTGTCAGTTGTATGTGTGGTTTAAGAGAGAATTAATCGCAGATAATATGTAGCTTGTCACATTTCAGTTTTCCCGAGTCAACAGTCAGTCATTTTCAAGATTGCAGTAGTGAGTGAGTGTGTTTGGTTTTATGCCGCTTTTAGCAATATTTCAGCAATATCACGGCGGGGGACACCAGAAATGGGCTTCACACATTGTACCCATGTCGGGATTCGAACTCGGGTCTTCAGCGTGACGAGCGAACGCTTTAACCACTAGGCTACCCGACTGCCCCTCAAGATTGCAGTAGTAAAGCGCAATGGTATACATTAGACTCGACCTCGGTCTCTTCCGAATTCTGACACTGTTCGTGTTTCTATCAGCAAGTCCACACTGTGTAATCCGTCATCAACACAAGAAAAACTTTCAATAAACACTCAACTGTCAGGGGCAAAACTACCATTGTAGCAGAAAAGCAATTGCTTACACCTAAAAAACAAACTTGTTTATACACCTAAAAAAAAGAAATGAAATGTTTTTCACACTCAAAAAAACCCACACTTTTTATAAATTAACCTCAATTTATCACCTATGCAGTTAGTTATTAATTCAAACTCGAATCGAACATGATAGTTATTGTCTAACTTTAAAATCGGAATCTTTACGCACTTTAGGATTTTAATTAAAGGTAGATGGTTTGCGACGTAAGCAAACTGCACTCACAATTAATTTCATTGCAATGATAGCTCGGGTCGTGTTAAAATATGAAAAAATATATAACCATCACATACTATGAATGAACTTGTAAAACACACAAAAGCAATATTGATACGTTTTATTTCATTGTAGATGTTTCCTGAATAAAAGTCGAAAATGAGTTGGGGGGGGGGGGAATCACGCATATATATATTACTAGTATAAAAACATTATAATAAAATTACCAATATTTTTCAGAAATAAAATCTAACATAAACGGCCCCCAAATGCAGGAAATAGCGTTAAGGGCATCAAATTTTTTTTTTAATTCTGGGGAAGCATACCTTAAACCTCCTAGCCAGCCTTATGACATTGATTTTGCTTACACTTAAAATTAGCCAAGTTGTGCCCCTGACTGTGGTCGTATTGTTTTTTTGTATTCTTCAGCGACGCTGTTTAGTACATTTAATTAGGATAGCTGAAGCGGTTGTTGTCGGCACAGGTACTACAGATATGTTCACCAGCATCTTCCCAAGGCACCAGAGTTAACAGACTATATAAAAGTCCAGTTTCCACCCTTGCCAAACTAGGCTCGTATAATGGAGTTACATTTTGGCTAGACTAACGAATCTATGCACAGGCCAATCAAAATACAGAGCTCCAGATAAGCTTTTGGTGTTGTGGGTATTTTACCCATGCATTTAAAAATCTTTGGGTATCAGTAATTCTATCTGGGTATTCAAATTTCTGTTACGCACTAGTTTTTACACATGTGGGTATTTAAGTTAAATATTTAAAAACACTTTTCATCTAGGCCCTGCAAACTGGTTTTGTTTGGGTTCGAGAGCTTTATAGGACTCAAAATACCACGATACTTCCACAAGAAAGTGTGATGGCAAATGATCATGATGTAACTGTCATCGTGGACTTTGGCAAGGTTGACGGAATGTCCGTTTATAATTTCAAAATAAGTTGCTGATTTGCTAATCAAATACGCAGGGTTACTTCACAATATTTTGATGATACGCACAAGTTTTATTTTGTAGCGTATCTGTAATGTTCGTTGCATATTTGATACACTTTGATTTTATTTTACTGCGTATTTCTGCATTTCTGATGCGTATTTTACGCAGATACGCAGCTTATCTGGAGCTCTGAAATAGCGCAATGAAATCGTAATCAGGTTTGCAAACTGTAATGCAGATTTCGGGTGATTGCAGGATATGCAAAGCATGTGCACCGCTAACTCGTTGTCAACAGATATTTTCCAAATCTTTTTATGTTTTTAATCGAGGTGCTCACGTGATTTGATGCACTTCGAGATGTAAGACCTATTTTATCACAATATAGATCTTGATTACTGATAAGATTGTCTTGACTGGGCGGCGCCATTTTGTTTGAAGCAAATGCAAGTGGAATGTGATTGGTCCATAGGCGAGGTTTAGAAGGGACATAACTCGTAATAGTCACTGATGGCGCTACAATCGAGACCAGGAATTCCAGCCTAGTTCGGCAAGGGTGGAAACTGGACTTTTAAGTCGGTTAATGCCCTTGCCTCGGGAAGATGGTACACCAAGTACGTGTCTATATCCAGAAATGTACCCAAGCAACAATCAAAATACAGAAACTCATTAAATTTTCAACCACCACTCAATCCTGCAACAGTTTGTAAAAAGCAATCTGTGGCTGGGTAATTTTGTGTAAAAGTAAATTGGTTCAATGAAGACTGGGGTAAGTAATGAATTTGCAACCACATGACCCCTTACCATGTTTAAAATGTAAAATTGTGCTGTAAAAAACAAATTTATTGATTTCACAGACATGTCTCAGAAATCAATCAGTAGTTGTGTATGATGCACAATTATTTGCAAATTCTATAAATTTTACGTCAAATTATGTTCTAAGAAATAAAACCACTTAGATGTATTCCGTGAGTGCTGACTTAGCGCCAGAACAGTTCATTTTTTAATATAATAGATAGAAATGATAAAGACATTTTCAATTGAAAATCAAACATATCATAAAATTCATTTTGAGGTATAGATTCTCTTGCTCCACAGTTAACAAATACTAAACCAGAATCTACTATAAATCGTTGTGTAATTTCTTTCTGTTTTTGGGGCACGGGCCAGTTGTCTAGGGCGCCGCTATTCGCGGTGCAGAATGCGTCCCTTGGGCTCGCCAGAAACCTATGATTGTGGGTTCAAATCCTGGTGCGCCCCGATTATGTTTCTAGGTTTGTCAACACCATACCCGTGCTCGTGGGTTTCACCGAAGTGGTAAACGTCTGAGACCTGCATTACTTCGGGCTTTCCTCCCAAATTAAGCTGACGAGCCGTGATATGACTGGAATAAATAACCGGCGTTTAAACCCAACTCACTCACTCACTCTTTCTGTTTTTGTTTTTCTGTGGGTTACCTTCTTGATGAAGTCCAGATCAAGCATTTCCAGCTTCCCGTTTCCATCTGCGTCTGGAAGTAAACATTCGACAGGATCATAGCAGACTTGCATTATGATTTAATCATTTAGTTCACAAAACACCAACGTTAAGGATTGTTTCACCATTCATTGTAAGATGCCATCCATCATGAATAGGCGCCGAGTTTAAAGATAAACGTTTTTATTCTAGAGAATCTCAGGGGATTCTTCTTGCCTCTTCCACCTGGTCTAATGGATAGGGAGTCTGCCCTGAGAGCGGAGGGTTAGTGCTTCGGTCCCAGGCCGCATCGTACTTCATATGTTAAAAGATGGTACTTGTTGTTACCCTGGCTGGCAATAATGGTGTAATATGCCTCAGTAGAGTATCCATATTAAACTACGGTATGGTACCTTTACACACACACACGCATGCACGCACACCCATATAAACACACATGAACACAGACATACAGATACAGACACACACATACAGATACATATACACACACATATGAGTATATACATACAAAGATACACACGCACACAGATAGAGACATGCACACACACACACACACACACACACACATATATATATATATACATATTCACACACAGACAAACATACAGAGTGAGTGAGTGAGTTGGGTTTAACACCGCTTTTAACAGTATTCCAGTTATATCACGGCGGGTCAGCTTAATGTGGGAGGAAAGCCCGAAGTGATGCAGGTCTCAGACGTTTACCACTTCAGTGAAACCCACGAGCACGGGTATGGTGCTGACAAACCTAGAAACATAATCGGGGCGAACCGGGATTCGAACCCACAATCATAGGTTTCTGGCGTGCCCAAGGGACGCAACTCTGCACAGCGAATCGCGGCGCCTTAGACGACTGGGCCACCCGTGCCCCCCCAAACATACAGACAATTAGACACACACATATATATATATATATATATAGATATATATATATTTACACACACAAACACCCACGGACACAGATAGACACACAGAAACACACATAGTCACACATACACATGTAGCTTGAATCAGCTGTGCAGTGTTATGTCCCTTAGGCACAAAAAAAACTATGGTAGTAGGTTCGCCCCGATCAGGACTATTGCGGTGTTGAACAACAAACAAACAATACTTCTTTTGCAGAAGATTTCTATGCACAGGATGGTTGTTTGTTTGTTTGTTGTTTAACGTGCACTCAGCAATATTCCAGCTATCTGACAGTGGTCTGTAAATAATCGAGTCTGGAACAGACAATCCAGTGATTGACATCATGAGCATCGAACCACGCAATTGGGAAACGATACATGCATCCACCAAGTCAGGGAGTCTGACTACCCGATCCCGTAAGTTGCCTATTACGACAAGCATAGGTTGCTGAAGACCTATTCTACCCCGGATCTTCACGGGTCCGCATTGGATGTGACCAGCTGCGAGAAGATATTTGCTTACTTTTCAGGGTGGTTCATCTTGCCTGCTTCAGTCACAAGGACCCACAGTTCCTTCAAAGACGACCATCATTTATCTGCCATATTGTTGAGTGCAGCGTTAAACAACAGACAAACAAGGGTGCTACCCCAGATCAGAATACAGGTTACCATGGATACAGATTCAAGTAATAAAGGTGTGGTTTTCTCACCAAAAAAGTTGAAATAGTACTCCAGCTTCTCAACCTGGAACTGTGACAAGAACATCTTCCTGCTGAAAACAAATATCATCAATATTATAAGGTGAGATGTGGTGAAATGGGGTTTAACGTCGCGTTCAAGATTATTGCACTTTTATAGCGACGTGCGTGCACGTGTGTGTGTTTGGCTGCTTGTACTACTCCAGACTGATAACGAGTTGGCACACTGAGATACCATGCCGCCACAGGAACTCGACGATAGCGTGAATAACATAATATATTCGTATAGAGAAAAAAAATCACCCATCTATATACATAGAGACTCTGTATATAGAGGGTGTGATTTTTTTTCTATACGAATATATTATGTTATACACGCTATCATCGAGTTCCAGTGCATGCCGCAGTTCAACATGAATATCCCACTCAGACACAGTATACTGACTCCGAGCCGACCAGTCCATGTTTTAGCCACTAATGCCGAGCGCCAGACAGGGTAATAAGTACCATCTTTTACGTCTTTTGATATGACGCGGCCGGGGATCGAACCCCGGACCTTCCGCTCTCCGCGTGGGCGCTCTACCACTACACCACGGGGGCAGTCCAATATTATAAGAGACAAACATATTACAGTCAAGTCCCGCTAATCCGTCATGGTTGGTTGCATATGATTATGTCGGATTAACGAGTATGTCAGATAAACGAAATAAGTAGTATCAACGTTCGTGATCGAAAATCGGACAACTACACACACAAAAAATAGATAACGATACAAACACGTAATAAAAAAATAAAAATGAAATATTCATATTGTTATGTTACATTGTTAGCGGAATATGCTTTCCAATCGTACAATCTCTAAAGCTCAACACAAAACAACTGTTACGGGCTGTAAGACTGATTCAAAATACTTTAAAATGCATAGACTGGAATGGAAGTCGCAAGTTTGAAACTGGTACCGCAAAGTCATAGAAAGCTGCTTTCTAAGTGGCTAACGTTGACTTCCTGTTAGTCATTTCATTGGTCGGTCAAAGTTCGCGAAATGTTGTTCTGACGTGCCCTGTGATAGGATGTCCTCGGCGATAGCGAGAACTTGTATCTGATTTTAATGAGAATGAGGTAGTCTAAAAATGTGATTAATCCTGTTTTCTACATTCAGTGTTCCCGATGGCTTTTGAAAATGCCAGTTCTTGTGGACTGGCAACTCCAGAAATTACCGGTACCCCCTAATTTTTGCCAGTCACTTTCAACAAATAAAAAAAAACCGTATAAAAATTATTTGGTATAAATCTTTCAACTTCATCTTACCGCAAAGATGTCATCTCTGAAATAACTTAGTTAGATCCATACGTCATTCACACAAACTTCAGTCACAATTTTATATATATCTTTTTTTTAATATTTCAAGACTAATTATAGTAAGTCGCTACAAACGGATATTTAACCAAGAAATAGACAAGAGGAAACCCTGATGGTAACAGACAAGCTGACTTTGTTCGAAAAATGTACTTATTTGAACATCACCGATGTTTTGTTCAACAACAAAGATTTATGAGTACTTTATTAGCCGGTCCACATGTGTACGTGTGTGTGTGCGTGTGTGTGCGCGAGCACGCGTGCGTGTGTGTGTTACAGTCAGTGTCTAAACTCAAACAATGTGAAAAGTGGGAGCCGCTGGGAAAATTTACAAAATGACAAAATATTTCAGTCGCTATATAAATCGACTGCAGGCAGATGTCCTTTTTTGACAGATTGACTGAAAATTATAATGACGCTCAAAAGCACCCAAAAAGACTAATTTTGCTAGGATTAGAAGCCAAAAAATATACATGTGCATGTATGTGCATTTTCTTTCAAGCCTATATCACTGTCCCTGGAACCTTCACGGTCTTAATAACTACTCTATAGAATTTAGTCTATGTACAGGCCTGATGATACCGTCCACACTCTCATTAACACCAGGGCCCACTTGCACAAAGCGATCTTAGCGCTAAGATGATCGTAACTCCCATACTTTAACATAGGCTTACAATAGTCTTAGCGCTAAGATGATCGTAACTCCCATACTTTAACATAGGCTTACAATAGTCTTAGCGCTAAGATGATCGTAACTCCCATACTTTAACATAGGCTTACAGTAGTCTTAGCGCTAAGATGATCGTAACTCCCATACTTAAACATAGGCTCACAATAGTCTTAGCGCTAAGATGATCGTAACTCCCATACTTTAACATAGGCTTACAATAGTCTTAGCGCTAAGATGATCGTAACTCCCATACTTAAACATAGGCTTACAATAGTCTTAGCGCTAAGATGATCTTAACTCCCATACTTTAACATAGGCTTACAATAGTCTTAGCGCTAAGATGATCGTAACTCCCATACTTTAACATAGGCTCACAATAGTCTTAGCGCTAAGATGATCGTAACTCCCATACTTTAACATAGGCTTACAATAGTCTTAGCGCTAAGATGATCTTAACTCCCATACTTTAACATAGGCTCACAACAGTCTTAGCGCTAAGATGATCGTAACTCCCATACTTAAACATAGGCTTACAATAGTCTTAGCGCTAAGATGATCTTAACTCCCATACTTTAACATAGGCTCACAACAGTCTTAGCGCTAAGATGATCGTAACTCCCATACTTAAACATAGGCTTACAATAGTCTTAGCGCTAAGATGATCTTAACTCCCATACTTTAACATAGGCTCACAACAGTCTTAGCGCTAAGATGATCGTAACTCCCATACTTAAACATAGGCTTACAACAGTCTTAGCGCTAAGATGATCTTAACTCCCATACTTTAACATAGGCTTACAATAGTCTTAGCGCTAAGATGATCGTAACTCCCATACTTAAACATAGGCTTACAATAGTCTTAGCGCTAAGATGATCTTAACTCCCATACTTTAACATAGGCTTACAATAGTCTTAGCGCTAAGATGATCTTAACTCCCATACTTTAACATAGGCTCACAACAGTCTTAGCGCTAAGATGATCTTAACTCCCATACTTTAACATAGGCTTACAATAGTCTTAGCGCTAAGATGATCGTAACTCCCATACTTAAACATAGGCTTACAATAGTCTTAGCGCTAAGATGATCTTAACTCCCATACTTAAACATAGGCTCACAACAGTCTTAGCGCTAAGATGATCTTAACTCCCATACTTTAACATAGGCTTACAATAGTCTTAGCGCTAAGATGATCTTAACTCCCATACTTTAACATAGGCTCACAACAGTCTTAGCGCTAAGATGATCTTAACTCCCATACTTTAACATAGGCTTACAATAGTCTTAGCGCTAAGATCGCTTTGTGCAAGTGGCCCTGATGTTAATGAGAGTGTGGACGGTATCATCAGGCCTGTACATAGACTAAACAAAGATCTGAGGACATCCTATTACGGGTCACGTCAGAACGACGTGCCTATTCACCTCACCTCATGTACATACATAAGTGTACATACATACTTATGTATCCTATGAGACTCATATTTGACCATATGACCTTGGATATTTCATGCTTGGTAATTCTCTGTGACCCACAATACTTGACGGGAACAAGACAGCATATCGCATGTCCCGTGCCCCAGGAGTACAAATACGTGTCCTTTGTTAAAAGGGGTAGTTGTGTTACAATTCCATCGCGGACGTTGACTGACGTCATGACACCCTACATACCTATGAGAGAAAAAACACTCCAAAGAACAACGAAAGACAAACTCAGTAAAGCGCGGTAAAGTCGTTCGGTTGATGTCCCCCAGAAGCAACACAATGCGGTCAAGGTTGCGCGAGGAATGACGTCACTGTCAGATCTGAACTCGTTCTGCGCATGTCGCCACGGGCAGAGAGCAAAAAATGGTTTTGAGGTGGCAAGTATTCTGGTTCTGGCGAGAAATAGAATAGATTGCTAACTTACATAATGTTGGTACTGGCTCACAAAATGATTTCACTATGAAGTTCAAGCCTAATTATCACGCTTTTGAACAATTCAGCTTGATTTGTTTCTCTGCCCAAATGAATTCTAAATTGCATTTTAGTTTTCATCGTACAGATCATATATATTCTTACAGATCAATACGAATAATCTAACACGTATAGCAAGATACGGCAACGAAACTCATTAGCCAGATACGGGCAACCTAATACACTACCTGAACACGGGTAACCTAATATATTAGCTGGATACGGGAAACCTAACACATTAGGTAGATGCGGGCAACCTAATACATTAGCCATATACGGGCAACCTAACACATTAACTGGATACGGGCAACCTAACACATTAACTTAGATACTAAGTTTCAAGATACTAAGTTGAAATTTCAAGATACATTAGTTGAAATTTCAAGATAATAATGATCTTGAAATTTCATGATAATAAGTTGAAATTTCAAGATAGTATCTAGAAATTTCAAGATAGTATCTTGCAATTTCAACTTAGTATCATGAAATTTCAAGATAGTATCTTGAAAAGTCAACTAAATATCTTGAAATTTCAACTTAGTATCTTGAAATTTCAACTTAGCATCTTGAAATTTCAACTTAGTATCTGAAAATTTTAAGAAGAAAAAAAAAAATGGCCCTTAAAGGCTTCCGTAGTTTTCACGTTGTTTTCACTTTGTGCTCACTCTATGTTCCTCCATCTTCTAATCTCCATCAAACGGAACTTCAGGCACTGTATGACCAGCTCCCCAAGCCCTGTATCATTATGGGAGACTTAACCGAGCACAATCCACTTTGGGGTATTGCCAATACAAACAGTAAAGGGAAGGTCTTAGAAGATTTCATTTTAAACAATGATTTATGTATTTTTAATGATAATTCTAAAACCTATTTACATCCTGGAACAGGTACCTACTCATATCTTGACACTTCTCTCACCGACTCTGATATCTTCTTAACGAATTCGGGGGCGGTCGGGTAGCCTAGTGGTTAAAGCGTTCGCTCGTCACGCAGAAGACCCGGGTTGGATTCCCGACATGGGTACAATGTGTGAAGCCCATTTCTGGTGTCCCCCGCCGTGATATTGCTGGAATATTGCTCAAAGCGGCGTAAAACC